GAAAACTTCTCCGACATAAATAAATTAGAAGCATCCAAATGCCCAGAGAAGTTGAACCTTGTTTTTATTTGCAATAAAACGGCATCGTATATTTCTAAGGCTTCGCGTTTTCTGCTGTTCTCTTCAATTCGTGCTCTTTTTTTATTGGTTCACCAGTTTCTCTTGCGACGTGTTTATTTCTCCTTGAATATTGTCAATAATGCTGTCCATTTGCTCCCGTATACCTTAAATTGCTGCTTCGAAAGTCTCCAAATCTTTCTTGACCTTAACAGAATCTGTGCATACTTTTTGTAATTGGTTAAAAATAATTTCCACGTGAGGCATTATTTGATGAAAAATACTTAACCAAAATATAAAATTTCTTCCTGAAGTTTTAATTTGTACCCACTTGCTTGATTAATAGACGACGAATCGCGTGAAGTACTTTCTATAATGTCCACAACTGTAATAAGCTCTTTTCTATTCTCATAAACAATATGAGCGATTGAAAAGTCCAACGTGTTTGGGAAGATCTTAGCAACCTGCGATTAACTACCTCATCCAAAATTTTTGGTCTTTGAGGAGACGTGGAAAAAAAAGAGCACAAACCAGATAAATTAAAAAAAAATATTCTAGCCTGCTTATTGACAGAATATGCACTAAATTCATCTGGTGTGCATAGATAGCAATAAACATAATTTACAACAAGATATGTTTGAGCAATTAATTTATTTGGACTATGTTTTAATAATGGATGTAAAACATTTAAAATGCATTCAGCGATTGATTTGGCGTCGTGTCCATGGAGCATGTAATACCTCCAAAATCTCTGAACTGGTCGTCCTTTACACAGAAATATCTGAAAACTATAACTAGGTAATTAAAATTCACAAGCAACGTTCGTCGTTTCATCGGCAATCACCGCAACAAAAGGAAAATTTTCTATTTCTTTTCTAACTTCTTTGTGATAAACATATCTAACATGCACTCAAGAAGTTAATTTTGGGTTGTTTTTGAGGTACCTTTGAAAGCTTTTGAACTTGGAATATGAACCTTTAAGTCGTTGTCTAATTCTGCGCAAAAATTTACCAGCTCCTTAAATATGCTTCTATTTTCCGAATTATCTTTCTCATCGTGGCCCCTTAAAGCTAACTCAAAAGCTCCACAAAACCTTATGCAATTTATAATTTGATTTAAAACATATCGATTCTTATCCACTTGTTGATTATGTTTAATTAGAGCATCACGATAAGCCGAATTTAACTGGGTTTTTATATACCAAGCATGGAAAAGCTAAAAAACATTATTCATGTGCACTTTGGATTTTTCATGGGATTTCATTTTATCCCATATATGGACAAGATCGTATGTGCCTTTTTTTGACCAAGTCTCGTCACCTCCAAACAAAACACATACAGAACAAAACAATTTATTAGTTTCTTCGCAACCACACAACCAATTATTTTTATCATAAATAGTTTTATTAAATTTACGACACCGCCATTTTTGCCCACTTCCACTTTGTTTTTCAATTTTTAAATCGGGAATTGGGCGGCCTAATTCTTTAATTTGTAGTTTTTCTTCTAGCGAAAAACAACTAAAAGTTTTTTAAGACGCCAATTTTATTCATTGTCACAATAAATTAAAAATTAGGAAATAAGATATTTAAACAAGTTTATCGAAAACAAAAAGACACAGGTATTAAAGTCAACACTTCGTAACGTAACGAAAAACTTAAAAGCGAGTAAAGAAATTTGGTTAATTCAGTCAACAATCGACATTATCAAGAAACCGCGATTATCTGAACCGCTATGGGCGCTGTGCCTGGGGCCCTATCCTCGGCTATCGTTTTCTGAAAAACGTATACGCTTTAGCAACATACGAGCTATTCGCTATTCTCGACATTCGTTTTAAAAGCGTGTACGTTTTTAAAACGGGTGTTTTACAGCGAGCGGAATTTTTTACACGTTTTTCATAAAACGTGCATGTTTTCAAGGATTTAGTCAATGTCACTTATATGTCACTTTTAGGATGATTGATTTTAAAAATTTCTACTTTTTATTAATACCTACAAAAGTATCTAATTTTTTACAAATATGGTTTGCAGTACATACTAAAACAGTCTAATAGCTGAGAATTTCTTTCAATTATTATTAATACAATAATTAGTACAATTATTAGAAAACTTTGAAGATAAGAATGATGAAAGATTCAAACATGCAGAGGCAGAATCCATTTTTTGAATTTAATGGATATTGAATGAATATTTTTTTATATCTTACCGTGTAAGAATTTAATTATTAATTCTTGTATGTTTTATTTGCTTGCGGTTTCTTGCAAGTGGTACTTATTTAGTCACACGTTGTGTCCAAAAATGTTAACAATTTTGTAAAATTGCCACAAATATTAAAGAACTGAATGAGATAACTAAAGTTATTATTTAAATTAATTTTGTACCATAAAAACTAGGTTTTTATGACGTACGATTTTCCTAGAATTATAGGTTGCATTGACTGCACCCGCCAAAAAATAACGATTTAGTTTATCCTGAACATTGATATATTATGTGATTAGACAAAATCATCATTCGATAAATTTACAATTGGTTTGTTGTAATTAAATTACATAATCCTTATTTTTTATGGCCTGCACATTACTTGAATTCAGCGATATAGACAGTTTACAGTGATGCCAGACATATTATTTGCTTGTTTAAAACATAAGTACATGTTTTAAAAAGCGAATGCTCATCGAACGCCAGTCAAGAATATAGATTTCAAAAACTACTTGCTTTTCAACCACTCACTTTCGAAAACGGTTCGTTTTTTAGCGATTGTCGAGGATAGCCGCCCTGTCTCGAACATTCCTTGATTTTACCATTTAAATACATATAAAATGTCCTGTTGCTCACATAGGCTGCTGGTAAAATCTCCCTCTCTCCCCTAGTGCCAGCTGAGAAATGGCTCTGGTTGCGGCAAGAGCTTACGGCCAATTTCATAATCAATTTAAAGGACACTTTAATTTTAAAGTATCTTTTAACCATATAGTTTAAATAGCTTAAAGTCTCCTTTCATTAAAGGCCACTTTAGCTATCGATTATGAAATTGGCCGTTAGAGGTTGCCACATTTCAAATAAGTTTTGAATATAAAAAAAAAACAAAATAAAAATATGATAAGACGTTTTAAAAATAAAAAATATATTTTTGCATCAAAAATAAGGTAGTGCGTGTGTTGATTGTTAATCAACAATTGTTCTAATTATTTGAGTTTGTCGTACATATCTGAAGACATTTTTATTATACTTGGACATAGTTTTGTTTTTATTCTTTTGTCAGACAAGTTATTTTGCTTTTTTACTTTTCTGTGTAGAAATAGGAGGCAAAAAAGCTTGACATCTAAAAATATATGTACGGCGATTTGTCAATGTTTTATTTAATGAAGAATTTGTCAATTTCAAATTGGTAGTTGCTTTTACCAAATTTATTATTGTATATAAACAGATAATTTTCGGATTATTCTCGATAAATTAATTTCAATAGACTATCATACATACCTAGTATGTGAAGTAATTAATTGGTTTGGAATCCAAAACCAATTAAAAATTGCAATTTTTCATATCTGTACATGTCTTGCATCAAATTAGTTAAAAATTGAGCATTAAGACTTTCATCTTTTTAAATATTATTTAAATTTTAATATTATGTTCCTCAGGCACAAGGTGTTCCAAAATGCAATTTTTTGATTATCATATAACCAATTGTTATTTATATCATTCAAATGCTTAAAAAAAAACATGAAAAATTCACTGAAAAAATCTTATTTCTTATTTTTATACATTAGTGTAAATGGTATACTTTTTTTATTTTATTTACCGATGCTTTTTTAAAGGAATTTCAATTCCATATTCAGCTTCGGCCGCCATAAAAGATCAAACATTTTTTCTAACGCCAGTAAGTTTTTTAGGACGCTTTGTTTAAAATAATTATACGAGCCCTAACTACTATATGTTCCGCCTTTTCATAATTTTATTTCAGATATTTATTAGGAAACTTATGATTATATTTGTTTATAATCAAATCCCTATTTTTTTTTTGGAGTTGCTTTACCGCGACCCATTTTCAATAAAAAAAATTACGTTAGAAATTGTCACAGATACCGTCACACTTTCGATAAACCACAAAATAAGTTAGTGTTTCATTATGTGTATTAAACACGTAAAAAATTCTAAACGTCAAAAATTCCAAAGCCAACAAAATAAGTTAGTGTTTATTATGTGCGTCAAACACGTAAAAAATTCTAAACGTCAAAAAGTCCAAAGCCTGCCAAACATTAATTTTAATAATTGCGGAGGATATTGTTCGAACATTTAAATAGTCATTTATCTTTCGATTAGATACTGTTTTTAAAAAAAATTAAGATCATGGTGCGTCATGCTCTCACAAATAGTAGAAACATCAACAACTATTAAATTTAAGTAATTTTTAAAAAATAATGTTCTTCAACCTTAAGTTTCCTAATATATAACGGAAATAAAATTATAAAAAGGCCGAACATATAGTGGTTAGGGCTCGTATAAAACTCACAACACTAGCTTATAAAGCAACTAACGTTCTAAAATACTCAAAAATCGCAAATATACATTTAAACTCTTCCAAACCTGTTCTAAATTTCTTCAGCAAACGTCTACGAATTATTAATCGCAGTGCGCGCCACTGATGTAATCGTTACTAGGTAAACAAGTCTAAATTTGTTTTCTGCGACGGTCGTCATCTATGACACGACGTCTCTGTACTTCTCTCTAATGGAACGAACTCTATTCACAATACACTAATTAAATATTTAGAAACGAACATAAAAAAATACCAAACGCCACTTTATATAAAGTGGCAGCTACATTTGATATTAAAACACTACCAAATCGTGGCAGCTGCAGTTATGCGCATAAAAATTTGATCCACAAATCACCTACTTAGATTCGTTTCTTGGGTAGGGAAATCAATTTATGCACAAATAAAAATACATTTATCTAGAAAATGAATTTATGAAACAAATTCGATTTACAAACTTTATAAATTAATAAAGTATGTACAAATATTTAACAAGTCTACAAAATGGATACCTATAACAATATAATCCTTAATATAAGATTATTGATAATGATGACAATTTTAATAATGATGAAAATATTTCCGATGTCATAATATGCTGTCTGTGCTATCTGAACTTTCTGATTCAGATTTTTTTTGGCGTTTCTTGGACTTCTTTTTGCTCTTTGAATCGTGATGGCTTCGTGAATGTTTTCTAGAAAAAAAGTTGCAATGTAAGACAAATACATCCGGCTGCAGGAAAGTTTGTTAAAGCTCTCAATAGGTAAAGGTCTCGATTTTAATGTCTTGATAACTAATTATCGATTAAAAAATTGTAAAATTGACAATGGTGCAGGCATTGTCATGTCACAACAATCGAGTACGGCACACAGTTTGTTTACGTTATTGATCTCATTCTGTATATTTAAGATAAAGCATATTTTTTATATACTTGTAAAACTGAACTCGAATCAGTATTTTTCTTTTCTTCATAAAAGGCCAATGGCATTAAAAGGGCGCCGATTCCAAACAATAGAAAAATAAAAACATTTATTTACAATAAAAAAATACTTTTACACAGAGTGTCCCATTAGTGTGTAATTGCTCGATGAATCAATTTGTGTTATAGATATACAAACAAGTTTCAAATAAAAATTATATCTATCTATTTGAAAAAAAGCATATTTTAAAAAATATTTTTGGATATATAGGCTGTTACTTTTCTGCCTGGCAAATAAAAATTTATAATTTTTAAATGGAACACCCTGTATTTTATTTCAGTTTTTGAATGGTCTAGTAATACTGTATTCAACGTAAAATATTTTTGAAAATTATTACAGGGTTGCCAATCAATTATTTTTTTTGTGAAATTAAAGAATGATGCAGACCCTCAATAAAATTATTATAATTTAGGTAGGTTAACAATTATTTCGAAATTGTTTAAAATATATACTTATAAGATACAAACCTAACAAATAGTAATCATAAAATTGGTTCTTTTTATACAGAGTGTTTTAAAACATGTAATACATATGGTTCATTTAAGTTTAATTTACTCGAGTTTTTCAAATGCAATACCCTGTATATTATTTTAGCATTAAATTCGTTATGAATTTACCTATCCAACGATACCAACATGTTAGCACATTATACATATACAGATTGTACCATCAGTGTGTATATGATCGATAGCTGTTTTATAATTGGAGATACGAAAAAAATTTTAATACAAAAGTTGTAGGACAATATTTTACAATTAGGCATTCCAAACTGAATGGCTACCAGTGGGTTCTGACGGGTTATGATATGGCAAAATTATGGCAACCCTGTAGGCCTGGTGATTTGACAAGGTCAATGAAATAGATAGTTACATAGATTGATCATCCATATTTTTCAAAATAAACATAAGCTTATGCCTTGAAGTAAAAATGTAAGCAATTATTTTTTTTTAAATATCTAAAGGCTAAAAATTGATTTTAAAACACATTTTTGCTAAACCGATTCAAATTAATAAATATTTGCCAGGCAATATGGCCGCTTGTAAACGACCAGCTTTGAGCAATCTATATAACTATATATGTATCATTGACCCTGTTAATGACAACATGACAACAGGGTTGCCATATCTAAACTGTCATTACCCACTGGTAGCCATTTGGACATGTCATTGGAATGCCTAATTTTACTTAATTCTACAGGGTAGTCCATAAATGAGGGGGCGGACCCAACTTATACTATTTTAGATCAAACAATATGAACAACAGATTTGGTTGTTTTCACATCATTAAACAATTTTAATAGATTTAAAATTCCAAAAATATTTTCTATTTTATGTATTCATTCACAAAAAAATTAATTGCTTGCCAACCCTGTAATATTTTTAAAAACATTCTAGGGTTGTATTCAGTATTTCCAGACTAAAACTGAAACAAAATACAGGGTGTTCTATTTAAAAAACATTCATTTTTATTTGTCGGGCAAAAACGTAACACCCTTATCCAAAAATATGTTTAAAATGTCTTTTTCAAATCCATATAACTTTTATTTCAAACTTGTTTGCGTGTCTAAAACACAAATTGAAATATCGAGTAATTACACACTAATGGGACATACAATCAATTTGAAGTAATCTTAATTCTTACTTTATTTTTCAATTTAATAAGAGAAGATTTGTTTGTGTGAGTAGTTACAACTTAAAACAGAAACATTCCTGCTTTTAACGTAAGATAAGGATGTTTGATTAGTGATGTAAGACAAGTTTACCAGTTGTTGGAGAGGTGCTCCATTTTGAATTCTATTAATTACCTGACTTTTAAAATGAACTTATTTAAAATTATTTTGCTTGCGTGTGAGTGAAAAACATTGTGTTAAGAAGATAAAAGATAATACTATATTTTCTTATGTGCTTAATCGTATGGTTGAAAGTTTTTAATCTGTACTATGTTAGCTTTCAACTATTAAAAAATGATCAGCTTAGGATTCGCCCTGTATAATACGCGATTTTTTTACAATATGCAGCGGGCCTGGCCCAATTTACCGGCTACGGTAGGCACTGTAACAATTACAACGAATACAGAGCAACAAAATAAAGAAAAGTGGGTGTTCATTTTAACCTTCTATATAATAGATATAAAAATCCCCCCACGGACAGTTTTTCCAATTTTTCATTAAATTTGTTTTCACTTTGGAGGTTCTAAAATAATTTTCATTATTTCATAGGTAATTTTGTAATTTGTTTGAGGATTTACAAAGAATTTATGTATATATAAAAATTTTGGCTGAAAGACTAATATGCTGAATATAGGAGTTTAAGCATTGAGAAAATATTTTTTTAATAACTCAATATATGAGTAGTTATGGTAAAAGTTGTAGAGGAAAATATACTCTATATAAAAAGATAAAGAAAACACATCCATGGATTACCAACGAAATTAAAGAACTCCATCAAACCCTTTGTGATTTATCTAAATTAGCAAACTCAACAAACAATGAAATTATTAAAAATAGATATAAAGACTTAAAAATAATATATAAAAATATAGTAAAGAAACAAAAATTAGAATATAACAACAATAGAATCAAAAACTCTAAAAATCTCAGTAAAGAAAGCTGGAAAATTATCAATGAAACAAGAAATAATACTAATAATAATAGAAACCATACTCCAAAAATTTTAATCGATAAAAAAGTTGTCTCTGACAAAAATATATTATGTAATCACTTTAATGATTTTTTTCTGGATAATAAAGCACAGAAACCAGTCACACATGTGTTGAATCTACATTCTCATTCAATTTTCACTTTCTTTCTTACTCTAACCACACCTTATGAGATAAAGGAAATCATATCTAAAACAACTAAAAAAACAACACCAGGGAATGATGGAGTTCATGGGAAAGCTCTAAAAGCAGTAAGTGACATTATATCATATCCACTTTCACACATAATTAATGAGTCTTTTTGTATGGGCATCTATCCGAATGTACTGAAAATATCAAAGTCAATACCCATATTTAAGAATAAAGGGTCCATAAACGAGGTTAGCAACTACAGAAATATTAGTCTACAGTCGCAATTTGCTAAAATCATTGACTATAGCTACAATATGAGATTAACCAACTTTTTAGAACAGAAGGGACTAATACCCAACTGGCAACATGGCTTTAGACAAAAAAGGTCAACAGAAACTGCAATAAGTGAATTCTGCAATAATGTCTATAATCACCTAAATGATAAAAAATATCCACTAGCTCTTTATTTTGATCTTAGTAGAGCATTTGACACTGTAGATCATGATCTTCTCTTAGAAAAGCTGTATCGCATAGGCGTTCGAGGTGTCACGAATGACTGGGCTGCATCCTATCTGAGGGGAAGATCTCAGATTGTAGCTATATAAGATGCTAAATCCGCTCCCGGGCTAATAACAGAAGGAGTTCCCCAGGGCTCAGTTTTAGCCCCACTATTTTTAATCTTGTTTATGAGCGACTTAGAATACTCATGTCCAATACCTAGAGGGTAGGTCATGCTGATGACACTAATTAACTTATTGCTGAAAACAATCTGTCAGATACAGTTTCTTCCTGCACAAATGAATTCCAACATTGGTGCTCAAATAATGGCCTATTGCTTAATTCTAATAAAACAGTATTTATGCTTTTTCAACCAAAAAATTCAAGCCTCGACGAAAGTCAATTAATAAAAATTGAACACAAATCTACACCAGGTAAGGGAGGTCAAGTTTTTAAGTCTAACAATCGATCACAAGCTCACATGGGAAAGCCACATAGATAATCTTGCATCTAAGATGTAGCATTTGCTTTTTCATCAGACAACTTAAACCAACTGTGACTTTGGATGTACTAAAACTAACTTACTATGTGAAATATTTTTTTTAGGGTGTTTCATAATATATGCGCAGGACTTCAGGACGTGATAGCTCGTCCAAAAATATGAAAAAACGTTTCTATTAACTTACCCTCTAAAATGCACCATTTTCGAGATACAGGGTGTTGAAATTGAAAAAAAAATTCTACGCCACTGGAAAAAGTACTGTTTTGAGACGCCCATTTGAACCGCCAATATTTTCTACAACACCCTGTATCTCGAAAATGGTGCATTTTAGAGGGTAAGTTAATAGAAACGTTTTTTAATATTTTTGGACGAGCTATCACGTCCTGAAGTCCTGCGCATATATTATGAAACACCCTGTATATTAAAAAAAATATTTCACATCAAACAACTAATAATATGATACACCCCTATCCTACTCGAAGAGGTGGCGAACTTCGTACACCCTTCTCAAGATTAACAGTGGGTCAAAACTCTCCGTATTATCAAGGAGCCATCTTGTTTAACCATTGTGTTAGAATTTTAGGCAATATAGAAAACTTTAAAAAAATTCAAATTTATGCTGTTTCAGTTTCTTGCAGGCAATGTCTTTTACTCTGTTGATGAACTTTTAGCATATTAATTTTATAACTTAAAATATATTTTACCTAATGTTAATTTTAACTGTCTTTTGTGTTAATTTTCTGTATATTATATATTATCTTAGCTCTAGAATTTTGAACTTCTATGAATTGGACAGTGTGAATGGTGTTTTGTTTTTTCTGTTTTTTCTATGGACGTACTGTGTATGAGCTGACTAGTCTGATAAGTTTTTTAAACATTGTAAAAATGTAAAAATACTTTATTGACGAATAAATTCTATTCATAATCACCAATCTAAAATGTGCCAAAATTGCATCTGAATGACTACACTAAAAAAGCAACATTGCCAGTTTCATTATTTACTAATTTTTTTAGTAACCAATGAGAAATTAAAAAAAAAATGTTTATTGCAATCCGAACGGATTTTAAAGGATCATCAGGGTTTAGGGAATACATAAATATTTATTGAACGTTTTTGGAATTGGCTGATATGAATGAAACGATTAGTGTGTACTAAATAGGTCTGTTCTAGTCACAGTGAGAAACGTTTATTTCATATGTGTTCATAATAGGATATAAAGTTTGAGCAGAAAATAACCTGTCACTGCATTTTGAATTTTGACGATGGAACAAATTTTATGAATGATCTTTTTTGGAAAATAAAAATTTTATATATGGTGTAAACATACTGTATACTGGTCAATTTCTTGCTAGAACAAAATTGAAACAGTAAAATTTTAAAATCAATAATAAAAGTTTGCTAAACCTCTTTAATCAAAAGTGGAATAATAATAAAGTGAATAATTGCACCAAATGTCCTCAAAATTATTCCAATTGCTGACAAAAATAAATCATACCTCTTATATTTTTTCCTTTTTTCTCTCCTCTCGTCGTCTCTCTTCTTTTTATTTTCCTCTTCCTCTTCGCTACTAACACTTTTTCTTCTTTCCCTGTCTTTCTTTTTTTCTTTTCTTTTCTCTTTCTCTCTCGACTTACTTCTAGATTGTTCTATATTTTTATCTTTATCCCGTTTGTGCTTCTTCTTTTTAGGCGAGGAATCTTCTGAATCGATTTCTATTATTTCTATGGAATCTCTTCTTAAAGGTGAAACCGATTTTTCTGGCGTTTCTTGAGATTTGTCAGGTACTGAGTCAGTTTTTTTGTTAGTTTGAGCGGATTTCAGTTTCAAAAAGGCAGCGGCTTTCTTCTTTCTTTCCAACTGAAGGGCTTTATCCCTTGTAACTGAGGCTAGTTTTTCTCTAGCAGCTGCAGCTAATTTATCTTTTATTTTATCTTCGGCTAAAAAAAAAATAGTATACAAATAAACATTATTGTATTTATTCTCACACATATAAGAAATGTTTAAGGCCATCCTCAAGCATTAAAGTGTTAACACACAAATTTAAATTCGATATCCATTCAGTATAATAATAAGACGTACAAATCTGTGATATATTAAAAATGTTTAAACATAGAGAAATAAACTTAAATCTAGGTTCATGTTACAGATATGAAATTGAAAAGAAAATATCCCAGAGGAAACTTGGTTGACTTAGTAAGGTCTAGAAGGTGGCCTTTATACTTTAGAAGGGCCTTAAATTATGTTTGTGAAACATTATCAAAAAAAGTTACACATTCAATATGTGAAAAGTATCAAAGAAGGAACCAAATTTTAAAATTGTTTAGTTATATATAGTATTTTTAATACAAATCCCGATGCACGTCAGCAATGACGTCGGTCATTTGTCATAGTACTACCAACTAATTAAAATGTCCCTAACTAAGCTAATAATCCGAAAACGTCACGAATATTTACGAGCATTCATGAACGTAGTCATATTACTAAAAAACCGAAAAATATAATGGTAATTATTTTGATAATTTTAGAACTATTTCAGGTATTTAATTTATACATATCTAATTCTTGATAATATAAAATTTATAAAAACATTATTATATGTTTGGTACTCAAAAAATAATACTTTACATTAAATAATTTTGACATTCTGTGCGCCCATGAGACTCGTATTTACAGAGAAGAAATGTCCTTACGGCAATTGGTACAGCTTGTTGCGGTGTTGCAACCGCTTTTTAAAAAAATTCACTGATTTAGTTAGGTTATGTTTATGTTAACTAGTTGATTCTCGATTGTGCATTTTGTCTTCTTTTCCTGTATTTTTAAGCTTTGTTAGTTATACCTAGAAAAAAACTTTTTTTTTTCAAACAACCATAGTGTGAATAAGCTGATAATTTGTCGTTTATTTTTTATATAAAAATGCCTAAAAAACTAAATAGTCGTTATATTATTTTGAACGAGAGCGTGATAATGATAGACCACTTTTACCTTTAACTGCTGTAAGAGAGGTAAGTTACAAGTTATAGAAATGTATAGAAATATGAAATTGTTTTCATGTCTTTTTTAGCGAGTTGCTGCGACTCTAAACATAATGAACTATTAAAATCACCACCTAAAAAGCGTTCATACAATAACACTGGATACAAGTGGAATCCGAAATGTTATTTATAACATGTATGAAAGAAGTAAGTACAAGATACATTTTTTTATTCAATCATAATTTATGTTTCTAATAAAAGTTTAAATTTGTATATCTACAGTACTTAGTATAAATACATATTTATTTTCAGAACAATATATAACTTTGGAATCTTTAAGAGAAAATTTTATTAAGAAGCAAATGTTTAATGCCTGTGCTACATCATTGTGGATTGTATTAAAAGAATTAGGTTTCAAATGGAAAAAAGGAGACCCAAGACATGGTCTTATGGAGCTTCCGGACATTGCTGTAAGGAGAGTTCAATTTTTAAGGAATTATGTAGATGCAAAAAAAGCAGCTTTATATCAGTTTGTTTTCATTGATGAAACAGGGATTTTTCAAAATGGAACAGTAAACCGCTCTTGTCAAAATGATGACAAAGCAAGTGTTAAAACTACAAAAATTGATGGCAAGAGGTGAGTCACCAAATTTAAAGTAAATGAAGGTGTTAGTATTCTGGCGGTGATGTACATGTACTTTTCAGGTAGGTATTTTAAGACTTACATATATACTTAAGATTCTAAACATGTAATGCAGATATATTGTAAGTCACAAGTACTGCCAAATATTTCCTTTAATTATTTTCATTTACATTTTATTACTATTATACAAGGTGTCCCATATAATTATGTTCAAATTTTAGGAGCATAAAGTACACTTCTTTTCAAGTAAAAAAACAGCAATATTACATACCGATTTTTATTTCTTTCAAAGTTACATGCCTATACATTATTGTCAATTAATAAATAATCAAAATTCATTCTTAACGTAAATAAAATCATATTTTATTTGAAAAAAAAGTCAATCAATAATATATTTTTTGCGTTTAGTTTTACTTAAAAAGAAGTGTACTTTATGCTCCTAAAATTTTAACATAATAATGCGGGACACCTTGTATATCTGTATTTGTATTCATTACATTTTAAATTTCAGTAGAAGTATAAAAAATTGCTATGAAATTACATGACACATGCTATATTATTATATAAATAAACATTATTTTTGTTATAGATATATTATACTCAATGCTGGCAACGAAAATGGATTTATTGGGGGTGCCGAAGCTATATATTCTTCAAAAACTAAATTAAATGATTACCATGGAGAAATGAATAAACAATTTTTTAAATTGGTTTGAAAACCAACTACTAAAGAACCTTAATTAACCTTCTCTAATTGTTATGGACAATGCTTCATATCATAGCATGTTTCTACATAAGACACCAAATACAGGCTCATCCAAAGCTGAAATACGAGAGTCGCTAGCAAACAGAAACGTTGATTTTTCTGTTAATATGTTTAAATATGAACTTCAGCAAAAAGTTGAACAGTAAGTATTAAGTATAAAAAACTCTATTTACTGCTTCTTGATAAGATATATGCGAGACGTACAGCCATATGCATAGTCGATCGCCAGCGACTCGTCAGAGATTCAGAAAGCCCAAAAAGCTGGCGACTCGCCGGAGCGGAGATTGTCACCGGAATGTCATTTCACGCAAGTTTTCATGTTCTTTTATAGGAAAAAATTTGATATTCGTTTATTATTTTTTGAGTTTTAAGAAATGAATCATGAATAAAATGCGAGAGATACCGGTGATAATCCCTATAAAAGAAAATAAAAACTTGCGTGAAATGACATTCCGGTGACAATCTCCGGCGAGTCGCCAGCTTTTTGGGCTTTCGCCGGCGGATCGCCAGTGAATCGCTGGCGATACGCCGAAATGAATCTCTGGCGATCGACTACGCATACGGCTGTAAATATTTTGGGGATTTAAATCATAGGAGCTACAAGAGAAACACATTTTTTTTTATCATTACATTTTAGATAACTGTAACAAATGGTAGGTCTCTAAATAATCTTTAACTAAGTTAGATCACTATCACCAATATACCATTAGGGAATGGGACAGCACTCAATATTTAGTTAAAACATTTATTGATTCTGCAATTTTTGTGGATTCTTTAGATTTTACTAATAATAATGACAATTTTACATAACTGCAATAACCTAAAAATCTGATATTAAAACCCCTTTTATGCCCTAATGATGGATAAGACTAAAAAATCGTGTTTCTGTTGCATTTTCTCACTTATAGTACAAAAACTTGTTAGGTATATTTATTTACTTTCCTATCTGTATACAGATATAAGGAAAGTATAGGAATCATGATTTTTTTCGACCTCGAGTTTTCGATGGATTTTTACGTTTTGAGGTCCCCTGAATCCGTTTTGACTATTTTCGCGATGATGTCTGTGTGTGTGTGTGTGTGTGTGTGTGTGTGTGTGTGTGTGTGTGTGTGTGTGTGTGTGTGTGTGTGTGTGTGTGTGTGTGTGTGTGTGTGTGTGTGTGTGTGTGTGTGTGTGTGTGTGTGTGTGTGTGTGTGTGTGTGTGTGTGTGTGTGTGTGTGTGTGTGTGTGTGTGTGTGTGTGTGTGTGTGTGTGTGTGTGTGTGTGTGTGTGTGTGTGTGTGTGTGTGTGTGTGTGTGTGTGTGTGTGTGTGTGTGTGTGTGTGTGTGTGTGTGTGTGTGTGTGTGTGTGTGTGTGTGTGTGTGTGTGTGTGTGTGTGTGTGTGTGTGTGTGTGTGTGTGTGTGTGTGTGTGTGTGTGTGTGTGTGTGTGTGTGTGTGTGTGTGTGTGTGTGTGTGTGTGTGTGTGTGTGTGTGTGTGTGTGTGTGTGTGTGTGTGTGTGTGTGTGTGTGTGTGTGTGTGTGTGTGTGTGTGTGTGTGTGTGTGTGTGTGTGTGTGTGTGTGTGTGTGTGTGTGTGTGTGTGTGTGTGTGTGTGTGTGTGTGTGTGTGTGTGTGTGTGTGTGTGTGTGTGTGTGTGTGTGTGTGTGTGTGTGTGTGTGTGTGTGTGTGTGTGTGTGTGTGTGTGTGTGTGTGTGTGTGTGTGTGTGTGTGTGTGTGTGTGTGTGTGTGTGTGTGTGTGTGTGTGTGTGTGTGTGTGTGTGTGTGTGTGTGTGTGTGTGTGTGTGTGTGTGTGTGTGTGTGTGTGTGTGTGTGTGTGTGTGTGTGTGTGTGTGTGTGTGTGTGTGTGTGTGTGTGTGTGTGTGTGTGTGTGTGTGTGTGTGTGTGTGTGTGTGTGTGTGTGTGTGTGTGTGTGTGTGTGTGTGTGTGTGTGTGTGTGTGTGTGTGTGTGTGTGTGTGTGTGTGTGTGTGTGTGTGTGTGTGTGTGTGTGTGTGTGTGTGTGTGTGTGTGTGTGTGTGTGTGTGTGTGTGTGTGTGTGTGTGTGTGTGTGTGTGTGTGTGTGTGTGTGTGTGTGTGTGTGTGTGTGTGTGTGTGTGTGTGTGTGTGTGTGTGTGTGTGTGTGTGTGTGTGTGTGTGTGTGTGTGTGTGTGTGTGTGTGTGTGTGTGTGTGTGTGTGTGTGTGTGTGTGTGTGTGTGTGTGTGTGTGTGTGTGTGTGTGTGTGTGTGTGTGTGTGTGTGTGTGTGTGTGTGTGTGTGTGTGTGTGTGTGTGTGTGTGTGTGTGTGTGTGTGTGTGTGTGTGTGTGTGTGTGTGTGTGTGTGTGTGTGTGTGTGTGTGTGTGTGTGTGTGTGTGTGTGTGTGTGTGTGTGTGTGTGTGTGTGTGTGTGTGTGTGTGTGTGTGTGTGTGTGTGTGTGTGTGTGTGTGTGTGTGTGTGTGTGTGTGTGTGTGTGTGTGTGTGTGTGTGTGTGTGTGTGTGTGTGTGTGTGTGTGTGTGTGTGTGTGTGTGTGTGTGTGTGTGTGTGTGTGTGTGTGTGTGTGTGTGTGTGTGTGTGTGTGTGTGTGTGTGTGTGTGTGTGTGTGTGTGTGTGTGTGTGTGTGTGTGTGTGTGTGTGTGTGTGTGTGTGTGTGTGTGTGTGTGTGTGTGTGTGTGTGTGTGTGTGTGTGTGTGTGTGTGTGTGTGTGTGTGTGTGTGTGTGTGTGTGTGTGTGTGTGTGTGTGTGTGTGTGTGTGTGTGTGTGTGTGTGTGTGTGTGTGTGTGTGTGTGTGTGTGTGTGTGTGTGTGTGTGTGTGTGTGTGTGTGTGTGTGTGTGTGTGTGTGTGTGTGTGTGTGTGTGTGTGTGTGTGTGTGTGTGTGTGTGTGTGTGTGTGTGTGTGTGTGTGTGTGTGTGTGTGTGTGTGTGTGTGTGTGTGTGTGTGTGTGTGTGTGTGTGTGTGTGTGTGTGTGTGTGTGTCTGTATAACGCATAACTCATGAACCGACACACAAAAAAACACCAAATTTTAAACTTAAGCTTTGTTTCAGCGTCCAATGAGCTGATTAGATTTTGGGCAGAGTCGGAACATCTGGGGGGGTACTTTATAGGTGGTCATTTTTATATTTTATGGAATATATCTGTTATTTACGTTTGGAGAAGAAAATTCTTCAAATAAAAGTTACTTCTAATATAATTATCTATAATTTTTGTTTTATGCAAAATTTTCCTAAAATGGTCCGTATTCGAGAAATTTGACAAAATGTAAAAAAAATATTTTTTTTATAAAAATTGTTCAAATAAAAGTTGTTTGTAATATAATTCTCTATAATTTTTATTCTATACATAATTTCTCTAAAATGGACCGTATTCGAGATATTTGAGAAAATGTGTAAATTTCGAATATTGAAGAAAACTCAAAAACGGATAAAGAAAAAAACATTAAATTTTAAACTTAAGGTTTATTTCGGCCTGAAGTGAAATGATTAGATTTTGGACAAAGTCGGAACATCTAGGGGGGTACTTTATGGGAGGCCGTTTTTATATTTTATGGAATATATCTGTTATTTATGTTTAGAGAAGAAAATTGTTCAAATAAAAGTTACTTCTAATATTATTATCCATAATTTTTGTTTTATGTTAAAATATCCTGAAATGGTCCGTATCCGAGAAATTTGACAAAATGTGCAAAATTCTGATTTTTATGAAAATTGTTGAACTAAAAATTGTTTGCGATATCGATCTCTATAATTTTTGTTTATACATGATTTTTCTAAAATGGACCGTAATGGAAAAGTGCTAAATTTAAATTTTTCAGTATAAAAACTAGATAGGAAAGTCATGTGTTGGACACATCAGATTTTTTTTCTTATCATCTACTAATGTTGCTATATTCTAAACTGTGACAGATACGAAGACAATTAAATTTGTACAGTGAAAACCAAATCTGCCTTTTTAAATGTTGTTACAAAATTTGCTATATCCATGTACCTACCATTAAATCTTCGATATAATGCATCTTTTAAGAAACATGATCTTTTAGGTTGCAATGATTTAATACCCCAAACCCAACATAACATGTGACGTTTCAGTATGACAGTTTAGAATAAAGATACATGATAAACGAAACCCAAGTAGATATAAAACACATTCCTTTTTCAGATTCAAACCACCAAAGGTATATTTGGTAGATAATTTAGCAGAACAGTATGGACATAAAGTGTTACGTCTTCCTCCCTACCATTGTGTTTTTAACCCCATTGAATTAATTTGGGGCATTTCCAAGCAATATTATAATAAACATATTGGTAGATATGGTAATAAAGAACAAGATTGTTTAAATATGTTGTCTGAAGCACGTCGAACGATTACACCCCAAATATGGAAAAATTCTATTGACCACACCAAAAAATAAATATTAAAATGGTATGAAAGACAGACAGTTTTTAATAGATTGAAAATTAAGCCTATTATAATTAACCCCAACAGCGATAGTGATGACAGTGATTCAAGTACTTGCGATTTGGATTAGGAGAAATTATAGAATTTTTGTAGGAATTGCAAAGATTAGTAGATGAGAGAAAATATATTTTTTAAATAAAACATTGTCTTATTTTAATAACAATAAATAGTTTGATATATTTCTTATATAATCTGTATTTTATTTATTCCAAAATATATATAAAAAATAAAAAAACTCAAAGGTTTTGCTATGCGAGTCTTACAATTAAATAATATTTACAATGGTTTGAAAAAGACTAGTACCAATAAACAAATAAAATTAAGATTTTTTATAAAATATTGAATATATAAGAGTAGATATTATAGCAAAAAGTAGAATATTTCACAGTTTCGCATTGCTAAAGAATTCATTGAGCAAAACAGTTTTTTAAATGTCTATTAAAACTGGTAAGATGGAGAATCTTGATGTTTGAGTGATGGTACTATTATTCATACATGTTTAAATAGCTTTAGAGATTAATGGAAGCAGCGATAACAGTATATAGTTGAAGCACTTTTGACTATCTTAAATACTTGAGACACAAAACCATTAGTGAAAGTGAAATTTATTAAAGTACCTACTCAAATATTTTAATTTCTTTTTTGTATTTAAATATTTTAACAATTTCAATCTTTAATTCTTTAAGTACATATATCTACTGATATTGTGCCTTTGTGTATTTCATTTTTTCAATGATTTCTTTAATTTCATGATGTGTTGTGGTTTATAACTTAAATGTAGTTCTGTTAAATACATTTCTTGGTGAAATGAAATTAGTTTGAGATATTTTCTGTGCTAATTCTGGACCAACTTTAGTTCATCTGCAATATACTACCTTACAGTTTTATTTTCCATAACTATTTGCAATATGTTTACATCATTTTTGTTCAGATGTTTATTATGCACAGAGGAAATCAATATTTTTCATTATGCACATTTAAAACTAATAATTGTTTCTGGTAACATAACAAAAATAAAACATAACCTTACAATTTCAAAACTTTCTAAATTCCTCAACTATTCTGACGATTAGACAACACTGCAATGCCATGCCGTGCCGTCATAAATGATCTCTGACGTGCATCAGGATTTCAGTTTATAGCTTAAAAGAATCAGTTCGCTCACTCGGACCAATTGGATGTTCCAAAATAACATCCACTCCAGGGATATAAATTCAGGATGCGCAGAAGACTGCTGTTTGAATATAGGCGGTTGTTACAAATGAACTGCCAGTGGGAAGATTTGATATATCCAAGGGTTGCGACATACGATGTATTCTGTTTACAATACGTAAAATCATGAATAATGGATTACATTTAAATATTTTATGTCAAACACAATAAAAATAAGATACATTTTTTCATAAATTGGCAGGCTTTGTGACTATTATTTCGAATACAAAAAAACGTTCAAGATGCAAGACTATGTCTCTACCCCCTTAGATATACCAGACCTTCTCACTGACAGTTATTGTTTGACAGGTCGTTGGAATGATTAATTGGTAATAATAAGAGAGCCCACTGCAAATTACGACCGCCATCTGATAAGTGATAACAAAATGAAATATGCTCCAAAGACATGTAACAACATTGTACTTTACCAAATTGCTCCTGTGCCAATCTGTAATCCAGAGCAAACTGGTTAAAAAAATTATTTTATATTCAAAAAATTACATAAGACATGACAGCGATAATTGTGTTTTCTCTGAAAATTACAATCCTAATTCATTGTGAACCTAGCTTTTAAACCTGCTCCGAAGAATAAATCACCCTTGAAAGCCTGAGGAAGGGGCAGAACAAAGACAATGATTTGAAAATTGTTCGAGAATGGCTCAAAAATAAAGTTACACCTACTTGGCAAGAGATGGCCAAATACAGTGCAGTTATTGTATCAGTTGTATAATTGTTGTTAAAGTTTAGTTAAAATAAATTGTGATACCAAAAACCTGTGTAACATTTGAATTATTAATATTTTTACCTAACTTTGGCAGAGATAGTCAATAATAATTGTAAACTCTTGTTAGACAATTCTTTTAAACCATAATCATAGTAGTTTTTTTGTCGTTTCTACCTGTAACAATGAATCACAATAATAGGCATACAAATAAATTCTTAAATTATTCATATTTTTAATGATTTTTACCTACTAATGGTGAATAGATGTTTTTGTGCCATGTTAAGAGAAAGAAAATTTTTCCCTTTAACGATATACATCAAGATATATTTAAATGTTATTTTCTGGAAATCTTTAAGGGCAAACAAAATTTGCGCTGTCATGCCTTATGTGATTTTTTTAATATAAAATTTTTTTTTTTAAACACTTTGCTCAGGATTGGGATTGTCACAGGTGTCATTCGGTAAAGTACAATGTTTTTACAAGCTTTTGTGGTATATTTTATTTCATTATCAGATGGCGGTAAAAATTTACAGTGGGTCTTGGACTATTATGATTTGATTCTGTATGCGCCAGGGATACAAATCCCAGTTGCGCAATGTATAAACTGGAACATTGAGATCAAAAGTGCCGACGCAGAGTGAGCGAACTGATTCTTTAGCTATAAACTGTGCTATAGTATCGTATCCCTATTATTAACAACACTAGTAGGTACTGGTCTCTCAAAGTAGCTACACAGTGTATAATAGTATTCGTATATAAGTCATGTGCATATGATATTTCATTTTAATATTTTAATTCAGCCTTGTCTAATCAACTGGTATAAAAAAATAGGGAAATATTTTTCACTAATTTCTACATTTCTTCATATTACTCTGAATGATGGGTAAAGTTTTATTTCAAAACAAAACTATGATAATTTTGCAATAACATTATAAAAGAATAATTTTTAATCTTACCTCTTTTTGCATCTTTTTTATCTTCAATTCCCTCTGTCAATTCAATCATCTCTAATATCGGATCTTCGTCAATATCCGTCTTACTTTCATTATTGTCTTTTTTAACAATTTCTAATTTTTCATTTTGATTTGCTGTCACCACTTCTGCAAGCTTCTTTTGACTGTCCGCTAGTTTTATCAACACTGACGTCAAAGAAGGTGGAGGGTGCGCTAGAGAATAGACTATGTTTGTTGGTAGTGGCACAGATGACGTACTGGTGACGACTGGAGGAGAAGTGGCTGTTGTTAATGGTTCCTCTTCATCATCACTTTCTTCAACTGGAAGTGCGCTTTTAATTTCTTTGGGTTGTTCTTCTTTTTGTTTTTTTATTGAAAAACATACAGGCGCTGTAAAAAAGTGTGTTGATTTATAAGCGTGAGTACAAAATTATATTTGATATTTAGATGTTTCAAAAGTATAATTTTTACTAACCTATCACTTTCTTCTCTTTCTTAGTCTTCTTAATTTCTTTAACATCTTCTTTATCCTCGGACTTTACTTCTTGGGTTCGTTTACCATTTTCGCTTCTTTCCCCTCTTAATTCTTTAAGCGTTTCCTTATAGTACATGTTAAACTCATGAGAATCGTTAAGAAACTGAAACCTAGGATCATTCTTAGCTTTAAGAATTTCTTCGAACTGTTCACCATTTTTCGACACGTGTAAGGCCAATTTATCAATAACTATCTGAGCTTCTCCAGTCGGTATACTGTAATCAGGTTTAGCAATTGTTACCATCCGTTCATCGGACTTATCGTCTTCGCCCGAAGTTACCTCAGTTTCGCTCTCAGATCCAGAACCATAAGCAGCAAGAGACAAAAGAGGTTTCTTAACTACAACTTCACTTTTATCACTAACTATCGTAACGGTCCTTTCTTCGTCTTGGTTCTTAGAGTCGGAAAGGGTGTTAGACACTGTTTGAGGTACTTGTGATACAGTAGCAACGTAAGGGTTTGATTCTTTGCTAACGTTGGAGACAATTTGAGCATATGAGTTGTGTTTTTGTTGATGGTGTTGGAGATATTGACTATAAGCCATTTGCTGGATGTAGTGTTGAAGGGCGGGGTCGAGGTTTTGGAAGTCCGTTGGTGGCATAAATTGACCTACAAAAATGGTTATTAATAAATGATTTACTCTCTTTAAGAGAGTCAAAAAATATATATGTAGGATATAAAACAAATGAGATTGTTCCAAATAATGAAATTAAAAAAAAAAAAGAATTAATATGTTTAATAAGAAAATAAGGCGAAACTTTTACCATTGTATTTAAATAATACGATTTACCAGTTTTAAAGAAGGGTGGGTGGTTTTGAAATGAGTTTCGAAGTCTATACAATCCAGTATGAAAACATTGTGTAAGTTATAGGTCTGAAAAGATATTAAGACTGGTCTGGCTAGTGGACTAATAATGGGATAAATTACATAACGAAGTAAAGTGAAAGATGCAGAAATTAATTGTAGAGTAGTGTGGCCAATTAATCTAAGTGCCACAAATCGTTTTCCTTGGAAAATAAAAAGTCCCTTATTAAAAGCAAACAATTTTTTTCAATTTAAATAGCATAAAGCCATTGTTTAACATAAACAGTCAAATATAACATGAAAAATTTTTGCAAAAAATTCACACTGAAAATAGAAGTGGAAGTGATCTATCTCCATGATCCATGTCAGTTATAGGAACCTAGAATTTTTCTAAAAAACTCTTGATTCTTCTCAGTTAAACACTCTAACATAACTTCAAGGTCTTTTTTTCGAAGTCTTCAAGGGTACTGTATCAGGGTACTTGACAGTTCAGCTGACTTGATGTGGTGAACGTTGTATGCCTTTTTCAGTACATGACATCTCTCCCATTGCAACAACTAATTAAAACTCTTTTTGTAAAACACCACTCCGGGGTCATTCGCAACCATGATGCCTAGCTAATGCCAAGTTTTGGGGTGTCAATGTATTTGGAAGAGATGCTGTCAAAATTAATAAAATCATTTTTTTCCCATATCCAGTACCTTTAGAGGATGTGTCGGTCTTTGCAGTAACGATATATTTCCTTGTTTTCAACATTATTTAATTTTGAAACTATTTCTCGTTTCTCTACAATGGCAAAGTCACGATCTGAGCAGAGAAACTTGGTCCCGAAATTAAAAATTTATGAACAATCGTGTCGAACTTGCCAGTGGCCACGAGGAAAATGTACAAAACAATAAGATCCGATTCTTCTACTGCCCAGCACAGTTATCACTCCATACGTACAACTTGCGTTTATAGGTGTTAAGGGCTCGTAAAAGGCAGGTAGCCATCTGGTTTCCACCTCGATCAGACTGCCCTTTGTGCCAGACGCACATGTTTCCATCAGCAGTGCCACTGACATGGATGCCGAAATTGTAGCACGACAATTGGCGACTATAATACATACTAGTGTGTGTAAGTTTTGGGAGGGCAGTCTCGTAGGTTTGTTTTTCTTACTTTGGCCAGTCACATGTTCAGTTTCTCTCTCTAGCCTCACTACACTTTTCTTCTGCGTTTGTTTGTGTATTTTCTCCCTCAATAGCCATCTCATCCATGTTAGCGAATATCTAACCTATACACAAAAAACATATCAACAATCAGGTACAGTATCATTATACAGACTGGCAGGATTCGACACGTTTTTGTTTAGCCATTCGTGGCACTTAGATCTGTTAGACGTGCAACAGGTCTTGGAAGCTGAACACCCTTTGTCGGACTATAAAATAGAAAGTACAGCGCAATGACACTTAAATCATATAGCTATGCATTGGCCTTGGCACATAATTATTTTGGTGAAAAAATCCGGATTCACGAAATTTTGGAACTCAATTAACACCGCCATACTACAATTATTTAAGAGCGGTAGAAAAGCAAGTAACAAGAATGGACAAATAGTAAATAATGATATAAGAAATAACCTTAAAATAGTCATATTATTATACAGTATGGATTTTTCTACACCGAAAGTATATCATACAATGAATAGAAACATGTACAGCATACAATTATATACAATGGAATTGTATTGTTATATAGGTCACCTAGCAGTAGTTGTATACATTTTTTTTTAGTTTTAGCACTTGGTCTGAAGAAAACGTATGTGATAATTATCAAACAGTTGTTTTTGGAGATTTTAATATTGACCTGTTAACTAAAAATACAGGTACAGTACGAAATTAAAGGACACTCTGGTTGATACTGAAGTCAAAAATATTGTTGCGGAATATACAAGACTAAATAGAAATGGTGGAGGTACACTAATATATTTAGTTATAATAAATAGCGATTCAGTCTCAGTAGATGTCATCAAAACATCAAGATCACTTTATGCTTTTAACAAATGTGCTATTAAATAGTGATGATTTATCTGCTTTTGGGATTGAAAGCAGAGATACGGACTTACATTTTGAATTAATAAATAGACCGTCAGAAAGTAACAAATTTAGGTGTCCCATTAGTTCATACAGTCGAAGAGGGTTGAAAAGTACATCGATTCTGAGTAGAATAAAAGGACATTTGCGAGTGGCTACTGGTGATAACATTCCTTAACAAAAATTAAAGGTATTTGTTGCCCATATTTTTACGCAAGCCGTGTTCAATAAATGATTAACTAATAGAACTAGACTTGAAAAACAAAGGCTTTATTGTTGCAAGTGGCTAATAGGTTGAAATAAGGGCATAATCTTGTAAGGAAAAATCGAGATTTTAATCGATTTTTCCACACTGGCCCATCGAATGTACGAAAACGTACATAGATACTAGTCCGAAAAACATAGTATCTTGAATGGCCCGAATAGGTAAGTGCATTTTGGAGTCGAAAAATATTTCTGGCAAGAAAAATCGAATTTTCCATGTGTTATCCCCAAGAGCCACTCGTAAATTTTCTTTCATTCTACTCAACATTGATGTACTTTATTAGAAAATGGGGCACCTAAATCGGTCACTATCTGACGGTCTAAAATAGCAAACTTTCAACATTAGCATGGAACTATCGTATTTATGCCATTAATGAAAAATATGATAATTTTGTAACACATATTTTAAACGTATTAGATTCTGTAGAGCCAAAGAAACAAAAATATTTCCCAGATACAAAAATTGGTGAAATGAAAAGGTAAAAGCTGCCACAAGGTACAGAGATCTTGCATATAAAAAATATTGACAATAAAAAACAAAAAATACCTGGATGAATATAAAATAAATAAAAATAGGGCCGTTAATGTAATTAAAACATTCGTAATGTTTTAAAAATCGTTCGTCTTTTTTAAATGCGAATCTGACAGATAACTAATATGAGTAGCCAACTTTGATATGGGCTATTTTAAGTTTTTAAATAAGCAGACGTGATTGCCCTACGTTTTTTTTTTTCAATCGTAATATTTAAAAAAATTCTATATGGATCCAACTTCATGACAATGTATACAGTGTGTCCAAAATTGGTGATGCATGTATTGCGATCTCCGAAACTGTTTTATTGATGGAAAAACAGTTAAATGGGGAAAGTTTTAAACAATTCTGTTTATAATTCAATGCCGTTTAGTTTGAGATTTTTTCTCTTTTGGTTTTTGAGATATTTTGAAAAAACTAAAATGACGCATTTCTGAAAATACCCTGTATTTGCTTTGTTTATAAAAATTTCTAAAAATCTGTAAAAACTTTCTTGGAGCAACTTTTTACGTAGAAAACGCCTGTGCCGTCAGATTTTATTTGCAACGTTTCGGTTTCTTGGAGCCGTCATCAACTTTGTTTTTTTATGGGCGCCATATTGGATTTTGGATATTGGATTTTTATCTCAAACTAAACGGCATTGAATTATAAACAGAATTGTCTAAAACTTTCCCTATTTAACTGTTTTTCTATCTCTAACAGTTTCGGAGATCGCAATACATGCATCACCAATTTCGGACACACTGCATATTGTGATATTAGCAAACTAGCTAAATAAATAATAAATAATACATCAGACACAGATTTATGAACGATGAGGTACAGCTGTCTGTCTGATATGTACATGTTCCTATTATATACAGCTAAATGTTTCAGAATTAAAATGTATAATTTGAATCAAGCGTAGGAAAGAAAAATTCCTTAATATTTCACAATTTGTATCTCTTTTTTGAAGCAACCAGTTTCGTAGTCTAAAAACTTCATCTTCTGACACGTCATATTCTCTAATCCACTAGGGGACAAAACTACAGGGCACACTAATATTAGGGTGAAAAGAACAACACATAAAAAACCGTTGTATAAAAAAAAAGATACAACTGATATTATAGTCAAAATTAAACTAAAACATAATGAATAATTAGAAAATTCGGAAACAAATCTCAAAAATCCCCCTACGAATTATTAAGACCACCCCCGAACCCCAATTTATTCTTCAATTTGAAGATTTGAGAATGAGCTTGAACGCCGTCTGGCCAGAACTAGCACATCAAATTTCGTCTAGGAATCTCGACAGTCAATTCCGTGGATGGTCTAGTGGAAAGGACACTTGTCTAGTAAACAAGGATGTCCGAGTTGGATCCCTGGCTGCGACAGTTTTTTTTTTAAATCTCCAAGTATTTGTTTTCATCTTTGGAGTTTGGAGATAGTCTTAATAATTCGTAGGAGGATTTTTGAGAATTTTCAAATTATTCAACCACTTATTTCAGATATTTCTCTGACTTTCTGGATTTCGATTTCACAATAAATAAATTCACAATTTTGAAAACATAAAGATTTGAATGTTTAATATGATTATTCTAAATATGATATTAATTACCTGGATTGCCGCCTTGTCCCTGCTGAAACAACGCCAGTTGCTTATAATACTCAAAATATTGCTGCACATAGTAGTACTGGTAGTACTGCTGTTGGTCATATGTCATCTGGGAGTAGTCCGGCACCTTAGCGGCAGCTGCAACATTCTCCTGGTTTTCGGTCTGAGTGCCTTGAATTCGATTGACAAGCTGACTGTAAGCGCAGTTCACTGATGGCTTGTAAGGTATCTGCGGTATGGTAATGGCAGTGGAAGCCGCCTGTTTGACAATAAACGCGAGTTATTTTTGAACCGACATTTGGTTGCTGCAAGCTGGAGATAAGTCCAGATGTTTTCAGTGTTTAACATAGGAACAGTTTTTTTTTTACTTTACCTACTTTGTAAATTCGTTTACTAATAATTAGTAAACAATTTTAGGGAATTACACCTTCGCCGAAGATTTTTTGGACTAAATATTAGAATATCAGTTTAAAAATATAATTATCCTATTTGTAAATATATGTATGGGTGTAACATAATCCACAAATGAGAATATATAGAATATTGGATCTCATTAGATAAAATATATTATAATATCGATAAAAAAAATGGGTGCACTCTGAGCTCAATTCTATTCAACCATATTTTAGATGGAAGTTTATAGCAATGTAAATAAAAACTAGGGATTTATAACATCGGATATTAGAAAATGATTATAATATAATAGAGTTGTACTTATGTGGATATAATAGCGATAGTAGTGGACACAACTTAAAAAAAAATATGATTTTTTTTTAAGAAAGAGTAGTAGTATGATGAAAAGGCAGAAGAAAAACAACTTGATAGAAAAAAGGGCCTTGGAACGAAGGAGCAAGATAAAACAGTGATTAATAAAATGGAGGATAGATGGTGAAGAAAATATAAAAGACAGTACCTACAAACCCGAGCTACTACTAACCTGCACTGAACGGTAAAAGGTATTAAGATAAATGTGCCATTTCACTATCAATTTTTAACTATTTTTTTTACGATTATTTAGTAGTATCATGGATTGCCTATTTCTGCAAAATAACAATATCCTAACATTAGTCCTAGAAAATTTTCGCTTGATGGAAAGGATAATTGCCACGTTAAATCTCCAATGATGAAACACATTCGCGAAAATTATAAACATAAAGATTTAATATTATAATAATAATCATCTTCCTAAAATTTAACCCAGTTACGAGTGAACCCCATAAGCAGAGCTTATGTGGGGAAGGGATGGCTATTATTATAATTTGCCAAGGCGCTCCGGAGCGTCTTACAGATGAATGTTAGTGCGATTTCACTGACAGGTGAGGAAAATCCGAAAATCCCCACCCACCATCGTCGAAAAAATTAATAGTTTAAAGAATTATACAGTGCGAAAACTACTTATGGAATATTTATCCGAGTACATAATAAAGAACATTATCTACAACTATTGCATAATATATCCATTACATATACAATTGATAGGCTTTACTAATAAAATCCGATATCATTGCATGAATATAGAGGTTATTAAAATAAAAAACTTTTTCAAAAAAATTCAAAAATAGGAAACTTACATTAATAATAAGCGCACTTGTTTGATCTGTCTCGATACTATACTGAACAGATAAATACCCTACTGAAATCAGAAACAGATAAAAACATAAACAGATTTATTAATTCAGTTAACTTTTCGTACAGGTCCAGGTCCGTATTTAGATTTTTAATTCTGTAATATTTTTGAGTTTTTTGAAAAATATGTTTATTTTAATGACTTCTATACACAGTTAAAAAAAGTATCAACTTCACTCTGTATTTCTACAATGCCGATATTAATGACAGTTCGATTGAATAAGACATATTCCTACAATTTCCAAATTTATTCTATCTGATTAATACTAAAATGTTTATAAATGTTACAAATCTGCAATTTTTAAAAAGCCCGAAACAAATGAGCGTCTTTTTTGACATCTTGACATGTGAAAATCATTTAAGCAACTGTACTCCATAAAAATATTGAAACTAGCTATAAGTAACACAGAAAATATGTTATATTTTTTTAATAATCCCATTAATCAGATAGAAAGAGTGCAAAGGAAATGTATAAGGTACAGTTCTTTTATAATGATATAATTAGAAAATTAATGTTAAGATTTGTCTCATCTCATGTATAATATAATTAATGCAATTTTCAATTAGGTTGGTTGGCAAAGCTTTCGGCTCCTGATTTGAACCATCTTCAGTACTTTTTAAGATTATTTATTTAATTGATATCACTATTACATGTTTACTTTAATGTCTGTATACAGATAAAAAAAATTATAGTAATCATGATCTCGAGTTTTTGACGAATTTTTAAGTTTTTGGGTTACCTGAATCCGTTTTGACTATTTTCTGAAATAGTCCGTATTCGAGAAATTTGAGAAAAAGTGCAAAATTCGAATTTCTTAGAAAATTGTTAAAATAAAAGTTGTTGTGATGGCATTCTCTATAATTCTTCTCCTATAGCAGGGACAGAAGTTGGAAATGCTTTTGCCAGTTCTCCCACTCCATACATATAAATTGACAGTTTTGCGGCGGAGTTAACCGAAGTGGACGTGATACATTGACGTACAAACTTATTTTATAGATGTTAATAACAATTTCAGGTAAATAGTTTAATAAATTATGAATAGATCTTGAAATTATGTAGAATTTTGATCTATGAAACGACACTGGCAGGTAAACATTACTGCGAAATTCTCGTAGATGTGGTTTGACGTTTGCCCCCTCTCTATCTACCAAAAGCCTTTCCAACTTCTGCTATATACCTAATTTCTCTAAAATGTGCCGAATTTTGAAGATAACTCAAAAACGAAAAAATAGAAAAATACCAAACTTTAAATTTAATCTCTAATCCATCCTGCGATGAACTGATTAAATTTTGGACATAGTCAGAACATCTTCTACTTTATGGAATATAAGTGTTATTTACCCTTGGAGAAGAAAATTATTCAAATAAAAGTTGCTTGTAATATTATTCTCTTTATTTTTTGTTATATACATAACTTTCTTAAAACGGTCCTTATTCAAAAAAATTGACAAAAAGTGCAAAATTTGAATTTTAAAGAAAGTTGTTTGCGACATCGATCTCTATAATTTTTGTTCCATAAATGATTTCTCTAAAATGGACTGTACTGGAAAAAATTGAGGAAAAGTATTTTCGTTGGCAATGAATATAGGTATATAAAAAATGTTTCAAATAATATGTGTGGAAAATGTATATATATTTAGTTCATCCTCTAAACATTTACAAGGATGATACAATAGGTTGTACAAAATAACCGGAAAAATCATGTAACAACTAGACAAGAAAGTCATGTACACATCAGATTTTTTAAATATTTTCATTATTTATAGAATAGAATTTTATTAATCAGCAGACGAGTTTGCTATTAAACCAATTTGGGTAAATTATGTTGATCTATAATTTAGATAAGGGTGACAATGGCTTATGAGGGGATCGGAAATTCATACATATCAAATTTTCTAAATTACAAATCTCAACAATTTGTAAAAATTGGTTTCATATCAGGTTAAACATATAATTTAAACATAAAAAAAAACTAGAAGAATGATATCAATTAAAAAAAATCTTAGAAGTACTGAAGAAGGTAGTGTCCGACCGAAACAAGGTTTTATAACTAAAACATAAACCGAATTTCGGCCCCTTTCTTAGTTTCGAAGAAAAACAGAAACTTTTTAAAAGCAATATTTTCTTAAAATTTGCAATATCTTATTGTAATCCTAGTTTTAGACCAATTAACTCGTATGGTAAATTTTAGCTACACTTATCACCTATTTATATGATCAAAAAAGCCATTAATTTATAGACCTAGTTTTATTTTTTATCACTTTTTCAAATTAAAAACAAAGTAAGTGAATTACAAAAATGTAACAATCGTTCTACATTTGTAGTGGATTTTTGTAACAAAAAATGGTTAGGTATTATAATTACGTAGTAATGGAGCTATCAACAAAGTTAAAAAAATCTATCAAAAATTAAATTAATATGCATAATTAAACAGTATAATGATGGAGAACAGAAATAATAATTTTCCCCCATTTTCATCTAATAAATTGCTTCTCCGATCCGAATAAATTTGACCAGGAGCTCTGAAGATTCTTCACTTGGAACACAGCAAAGAAGTTTTGTGCACGTGCACTGTGTAGGAATGGCACCCGACACGGTCGCCATTGTGCTGGACGCCACCAAGCATAATTCAAAAACTCTTGAATATATTTTCGGTATCGGCCAGTTCTCCGCCGAAACTCTAACTTTAGGCCGAAATCGGCCAAAACCGTAACCGCTCCTTCGGTCGGACACTAGAAGGACCGTCCAAACAAGGAACCGAGACCTTTGCAAACTAATCCACATTAGTTTTATTAAACCCAACACCTAAATCCCAAGAAAAACACTACAAACAAAATACTAATGAATAGGTGCAAGAAACCACAATAAGATCAAGCTTTTTGTGGAAAAATCAAGAATTTAAAAAAAATGGGTAAGCTGACATTGTTTAAATATTCTTCTATCGACTTTATATTTTATTTTTCAGAGAAATATTGACGAATATTTAAATTGTTAATGATTTGAGAAAATATAACCTCATTTATTTTAATTTAACTAACCACAGTAATGGTTCAGTGCGTTTGAAAAATCACGATATCACCCAACTCTATTTTTCTCATTGACATTTCTATATTTAAACACTTAAATGTAGATAAATATTTAAAGATGCTTTGTGAATATGGATGTTAGCATTTTAAATGATGTCAAATCATTGATGTTTTCGGATTTTTACAATAAATTTAACCTTAAAATAAAACTAAACTTTTCATAATTGTAGTCTACCCACTATGAAGTCATGTTTTGTGATTTTATTTATATGGTTTAAAATATATTCTATAGTTTAAGGGCCAGTCTTTTCACCTATGAGTAAAGTTGAAAGTAACTACTTGCTGATTAAACTATATTTGTTAAACTGTCAAGTAAACCTACATGTAACTTTACTCAGAGGTGAAAAGACCGGCTCTAAATTTAAGCATGAAATTAATGTAATGGAGTTTTCCCTTCAATAAATAAAAAATATAAGTAGTTGTAGATAAAGTACAGTACTCAACACTTTGCACTCTTAAGCCATTATTGGCATTTATGTGTGTAGTAAAGTACTATTTAAAATGTCAATTTACGTACTCTAAATGTTGTACAACCTGCATTTATGTCAATCACATAAACCTATTTTAAAACATTTTTTTTATTGTTTATGAAAACATTTGAAAAGGTTGATTTTTATTTTAATTTTGATATTTATATAAACTAAGTTTGAAATATTAAGACATAATGCATCACCATGGGAGAGAAGTAAAAATATAAAAATTTTCAGGGTATTTAATTTAAAAAATATTCAACTTTAGTCTGAATCAAATTATAAAAATGCATCAAAAATTATTTTATCCTATTATATTTCAAAACAAAATAAATTAATATAAATAAGTTAAATATTTATTCGTAAATGTGATAAATTTTATTTTAATTATTAATCAGAGTAGATAATAAAGATTTGTCTGCAAAAATTTTAATACTAAATTTAAATTCTTCAAATTATTAATTAATATTATTTAATATACTTTTATTAAGTATCAAAAAGCAATCTAAAACTTGTTTTGTATGATTTTTTTGAAATAGAAAGATTTTACTGTCACAAATTGTAACATTTCTTATTTGAATAGCAAACTAGCATTTCCTGAATTGTTAGTATGACGGAAGCAATTTTAAATTGACTGGCATACACTCAAACAGATCCTGCACGGTTTAATACAGCTACTGGAACAGTAGTAATATAAGTTCTTCATAAAATGGCCAATATACATTATATATTAAATGTATCTATTTTAAAATCAGTAGGTATTCAGCAATCTTGAAAATTTTAAAAGTAAAAAAGGGCATTGGCGAAAATAATAGTTAATTTCAAAATTAGCGCTATAAAAGTGATATTTCAAAAATGGAATTATCTCAAAACTATGGAAATAGATAATTCAATCTCGAAGTAAATATAAAATAAAAATAAGCAAATATAAAAACACCCCTACTTAACCAATACATAGTTATATAAAATGCATTAATTAAATGAATCCTTGTAAAATCCTTGTAGAAACTCCCCTCTTTGTAAATTATATTGTTACATTTTATATAAATGTGTAACAGTTTTAATCAAGGTTATTTTTATACTTGCTTCTTCAAAATAAAAGGAAATTTTAAAGAAATTTCCACAAATTCATGTCATCGAAGCGTAGCCATTCATCCTCTGGGAAATTCTCATATCGCTGTAAACGAAAAAAAATCAAAAGACATGTCAGACAAGTCAAGTCAGTTCAAGTAACCTGCAAACAGAAAAACTAAATGATTAGTACATCAAGACAAGTAAAAAATACAACTTATTCTATTAAAAATAATTTTATTCAAACCCATTTCGTAGTACACCGCTAAATGAAAATCACTTATTATTACTACAAGAAAAGTGTCTTTGTTATACTGTATAACACGTACACCTACCGGTTCGGAAGATGATGCGCTCAAACTTGGATGCAAATAGTGTGAACTGGATTCATGGTCCGAGTTATCCACTTGGTTTTCTATGAATAAAAAGAAACAAAAAGATATCGCATAATTAATTTTCTTAATTTTAATTTCAATTATTTAACTTTTTTTGTCCTCAATCATAAAGCATCCATTTTTTTTTTATTTTAACCCTTAATCAAGCCCCGAGAACTATTTTCCCTTAAAATATAGGTTTTATAATCACCACACATTTTTTTTACAGACTCAGGAAAAATAGATCCCACATATTTTTTTTGTATATGTAAATATTGGTCTTACATTTTATTTGTAACTAATTTACTGAAACAAATGACATTCTTGTACATAATTGAGAGGAGCCTGTTTAAAGGTTTATACAGAAAATGTTAAAAATGATCTAAGTAGTGTTTTGAAGCAAAAATATACTTTTTGTATAGTAACACTTTAAATATTACTGTTATTATTTTTAATTAATCACTTGAAGCAAAAAAACTATGTTTTTATGTCTATATTTTATAAAATGCAATAAAATATTATAAATCATTTATTAAAATAAAAGATAATATAATATGTATAATAAAATTTTCTCATTAATTTTTTTTCCAACAATTTTTTTTCTACTCACCAGTTTTGTTTTTAGTATGAACTTCATAACCCTCATATCTGCTATTTTTGAATGCAGCTAAAACATGCCTGTAGAATTTGTATAATTTATCATTTTGATTTAAGAAACTAAACTGTGGATTGTCTGCTTGTTTAGCCTTGATAAGAATTTCCATTTGGGGTCCCTGTTTGTACACAAACATAGCAGTTTTCTCAATTCTTGCATTCTCTTTTACAGTCTTGGGCTAAACAAAATATATTGAAGAAATAATTAAATATTGTAGTAACACATGTTACATAAGTTTTGGGAAAAATTTTTAGACCTCCTTATGAAATACCAAACCTACCCAAGCAAGTCATATATCACACATCAGGTAGAATAACGTCATTAACAAAAAAATATTAGAAAGTGATTTTTTTGTCACAAACTATGGGTAATCTTCATCTGCACCAGGTGCATCAATGTCATAAATAAAACATATACAATAAATAAACCAATATTAAATAAATAAATCATATTACTTTTAATTCCTCGCAGTTTGTAACGAGCATAACTTTCAAATAGCTCCACTGAAAAGAAAATTAGATTTTTTTCACTTACAATGTTATAATCAGATGTGCGATATATGCAACACTATTGCTAGGGGTTTTATCAACTTTTTTTTTCGATTTATAGCCTAGGTGTATAAACCTAATATGCCAGTCTCAGTTTGTGATTAAATACTCAATAATGTGTGTTCTGTGTAGGCTTTGTTATTATCTCCCAACGCCACTTCAGGAAGAGCACTTAATTACAACCTAACAGTGAATGGTCGAGTGGGGAATCTTACCAAGGCATCAGAATTAATTTTAAATAATTAAATTAAATGAAAAAATCCCGGCCAATGGTAGGATTTGAACCTGGGACCCTTGGATCCACAGGCAGAGACTCTACCACTGAGCCACCCCCCCCCCCCCTTTTTATCAACTTGTTTGACATTTTACATTTTTCTCAGAAGTTTGCAGGGTGACATAGAAATTAAATATGCACAAGACTAATGTGCTAAAAAAACATTTTCAAGAGGAAAAATAATATACAAATCAAAGCGAACAAATTAAAAAAAAAAATCTTACTTTTTCAATATCTATTGGCACATCCAGAATTGGTGGAGGAACATATGCTTCATCTGCTTCTAGCACTGTTGGTATATCTTCTTGTTTTATTGCGGGATTTTGAGGCACATCATAATTATACTGAATAGCATTCGAATTCTGCCTTTTTATCTCCTCCTCTATACAAAAAAACATTAATAACATTCAATGATACAGATTTGTTTCAAAAACCAACCTTTATACATCTGTTCCTCCTCTTCATTAATAATCAATGAATAGTATCGTTCAGTATCACACAATTCTTCAATATTTCTTTCTTTTTCATTGAGACCTAGCCATCTCATAGCATCATAACCTTCCCTACTAGCTTCAAATTTCCTCAAATCAGATAAAGCACCACGTCCATCATACCTAGAAAGATTTTTAAACACATAAATGACTCATTTATTTCTTTTAAATGAATCAATAGTTTTTATTAGTAAAAATTCTATAATTCATTGGTTTTTTAATGAAAATAGTAACTTTTTATATTATTTATAAGCTTACAAGAATGTGGAGTCATTCAAGCCAATAGTTTTTCGGACTAGTGATGATATATGAAGAAACTGGGGTGGGGGGGGAATGGCATAAGGCCTATGGCATTCAGCTCTGGGGTTGTGCCAGCTACAGTAATATTCTAATAATCCAGAGATTATATATCTCTTTATGTGGTCAAAAACAAATTCATTTAAAGTATATAATTTTAAAAATACAATATTGTTACATATCACCCTGCAGCGTGCTGCAGTCATCATAAGTAAAGGTATAAGTAAAAGAAGATGGGGGAATATTCGAGAAATGGCATTCCATGTCAAGAAAAATCTAGACTATTTGAGAAGGTGAAAGCTAAGCTGATGATCCTGACATCAGTTTTCAGTTTTATGATAGGCGTTATACATTAATGTTATCAGTTGTATAGTTATTGTAAAAGTTGAGTTGAAATAAATTGAGAAAATATTCCTTTAGTCTGTACTTAAATATATACTTAAATATATAGAGATGAACTATCTTTTATATCCTTTGGTAGGTTATTATACAAATCATGCCCTTATTAAAAATTTAATTAAATGTACTACTTTTCATACATCATATTATGTGAAAGCCTGGCTCTAGTTTCATAATTATGTATTTCAGTGTTGTAAGTTCCAGAACAAAGTATTCAGGAACATTGTCGATGCTCCTTGGTACATTAGAAACAGTGACATTCTTCGAGACCTTCAGATGGACTCTGTTCACCAGACTATCATCAGATTCGCTAGGAGTCACAAACAACAGCTCCACCAACATGTGAACTTTGAGGCAATCCAGCTTCTTGACAACACGAACCTGACAAAGACTCAAGAGAGTAAAACCTTCTGAGTTAGCCAAGTGATTGTGTTAATAACAAAGCAAAGCATTGTGCGGTCTAGTTTTTAAGAGTGCAGCCCTAGTTAAGTTAGGTTATAACAAAATTACTCATTGATCAACTCTTGATCAGAGTATAATATTAACAAATGCCCCTTATGGAGTGTTTTTTCTCAAAAAAAAAAAAAACAGCGAAGTAAGGTCTCTCTGTTTTTGCCTAGTTTCCAAGGATGGGATGTTCAGAAATTGTTACACGAAATTGTATTCACAATAAACTCCCAATTTAAAAGCTATATGTCTGAGAAAGTTGTGCTGAACAGTGTCTATTTTCCTACTATGTTATATAGTGTGGAGACCAAATGAAAGAGCAATAGGTGGGTGTCTAACTAGTGAACAATAAAGAAATACTTTGGTACTTGGCAATGACCAGTCAGAATGCCTGTGATCAGTGCATATTCTGTCTAGTTATAGTCAAGTATTTGTCATAGTGTTATCAGGATAATTTAAAAGCTCCTGGCAACTCAACAGCCTCTTGTTTCATCAAATCTGTCCATGAATTTCACAAGGGAATGTACTTTAATTAGGGTTGTCACTGCCAATGTTGTCAGTCCAATAGAAGGGCCAGGTCCAAAAAGTATTTGGTTGACTGCCTTCTTGGCTAGTGAATCAGCAAGACAGTTACCTTTCGATGTGGAGTGACCTTTGATCATCTTAAGGTGACTACATTGTTAATGGATACTTCAGCCAAAGCTTCGTGACATTCTAGTACTAACCCTGAGTAAATTCGTGGCATGTGCAGGGTGAGTAGTGCTTGTCTGCTTTCTGTATAGATATTATTTCTGATAACTTCTTTTGCTGCTACGAGAATTCCCATAAGCTTGATACATTGTGACCTTGTATATAAGAGTGGATTTGGAGAATTATGTAAATGAGTATGGATAGTGAATTTTGGTAATTGTAACTGAGTTTAGAATTCTAGATTTTTTATTACACCTTTAGGCAAATAATAAATAATGAATATCCATATTCTATAGGAACATATGATTTGGCATATATATGTTTCTATCTACATGTAAATTGATACTATTTTAATGTTATTACTATGAAGTGTCTAGCTGTTTATTTTTTTTTTTAATATTTGATGTAATAGTAATAATATTACATATATACAGATATTTCATCTGTCTTACTTTAGATACTGAATTACTTAGTAGACCGAAAAATTTACATCATGTTTAAACTAATAAAAGTCACTTTGAAGTAAAGGGGACTTAAACAAGTATTACAGATGTCCACAACAAAATCAAGACATTGCTTGTTTGTTAAAAAATATTTAAAGTAAGTTTTGTTAAACAGAAAATTTAATGAATAGAAAAGGAAGCTAACCTATCTATCTTGAGAGTCTCATCGCCCATCCATGGAATTAAATGTTTGCCTTGATCAATATAAAGAGCTTTCTCATCGTCCCTAAAAAGTTTGCAGGCATATCCAAATACCAAAAGTTCATCATGATTTTCTGTATGAGTATTTTTTCGTAAAATTCCGGATTCTGAAGAACCATTCCAAAGCGACATTTTTATTTTTTTATTATTTACACGTACTGACAACTGACTTGACATTTAATCACACGACACGATTTGACAAATGTCAAATATAACATGAGGTGGGTTCGGATATTCAACCTTTATTCAACTAAAAAATCTACAAAAGAGAAAAAGTTAAAGTTCAATGAAATTTTTCAAAAATGACACACCTTCGAAAATTAATTTATGAGTATAACAAAAAGATGTACAGTAAATTTAACCACAGTGTCGATTCAAGCGGACTTGTTTATACAAAAAATGTAGTAAAAAACAGAGTGTTAAATTTGAAATTTTAAAAGTTATTTTTTGCTCTTGCTCTAAGGGCCGATTCCACCGTTGTGTTAAACGGAGATTAAAATGACGTTGTTAATGTAAAAATGTCAATTTAAACTTCGTTTAACACAACGGTGGAATCGGTCCTTAGTAATTTAAAATTCGTTAACACAATAACGGTGTATAGCATGGAGGAAAGATTATTGTATAGCACAAGTAAGTAGAAGTTGGAAAGGCTTTTAATAGGTAGAGAGGGGGTAAACTTCAAACTACGTCAGACAGCTTCGAGAATTTCAGAGTAATGTTTACATGCCAGTGTCGTTTCATAGAAGTAATTTTAAATGTTTACCGGCGGAATCGGACAATCGCATGTATTTATGGATTATAAATAATTATTACACATGTATTATAATATTCAAATCATAATTTTACAAAATTTCAACAGGTATTCACAATTTATTAAACTATTTACTCAAAATTGTTATTAACATGTATAAAATAATTTTGTACACCAATGTATCGCGTCCACTTCGGTTAGATCCGCCGAAAACCTTTCAATTTATGTGTATAAACAGGTATAAAGTAGGAAAACTGGTAAAAGCCTTTCCAACTTCTACTTGTGCTATAATCGGCCTTATATTACAAGGAAATAATCGTCGACCGTAGCTTTGATGTTTGAATCGATTACAGAGACGGGGACCTGACGAAATACCGAACGCTGCAGCCACAGAACACAACGAGTTTGTGCATAAGTTTTTGTGTTGTTTTTTGGTTATTTTTGTTTTTTGTTCCATGTTGTCTGCACAGTGAAAGTGCACAGGTTGTCTGTTGTCTATAAACTCATATTATAATTAAAAAATTAAAATAAATAGTTTAATATTTTTTATATGGGTTGTCTGGTTCTTCCATGTATAGGAATTTGAACATTATTTGGATGATTTGGAATATGGAAAAGAAGATTAGTTTGGTGCTTGTGTATTTTGAACTTGTAATTTTCAATAAAATGCCGCGATACTAGTTTTAGCGTCGTTATTCATTCGCTTACAATCGGAAGTGGATGCAACATTTGAAAAACAGTGGACACCTAAAAAAAGCGTATATTTAAGTGTGTATTGACAATTTTCCAACAAGATGAATAAGAAAGGGATTAGACCACATACTGCATGCTGGGTTCCAACCTGTAAGAATACTGTTGATTTGAAGAAAAAATTGTTTTATTTAAGTTCAGCGACACCAAAATTAAGAGAGACTTGGCTAGCATTAGCCACGAAATCGGCGAAGGGCATCCCAGATGACCAGATTTTTTTCTGTGAAGACCATTTCCAGGTAAATAAGTAACTCACATTCAGTTATCTGGACCTGAGTATTAAAAGGGCCAATCTCCAACTTTGTTGTTTTGGAGATATAACCATTATCAAAATGCTCAGGTTGAATACCATGTTTGCAAAGAAGGCCAAAATCCTATAGTTAATGGTAATAATTTTGCCAATCTTAAAGTAGGGCTTATCTTCAAATTAGCTTAAAGCTAAAATGACCAAAGTGCACGTAGAACTATGCAGTTTCATCTACTTGTCATTTAAAAATGGTCAATCATCTTATTGCCTGAAGATTTCTGTGACAAAGATAACATTGACAAAGATAACGGCAGTAATGTTATCTTTCAGTTGAAGTTTACTTTTTGGTTAAGAATTCTATTAGAAAAAAATTAATTGGTATGAGGACTTTAGTGTTTATCCTACTTAGAGTGCAAAAAAATTAATTTGAATCCTGAATAAATGAATTCTCAATCCAACAGAAGAATAACTGAATATTAAAAGTGATTTAGAGAATCATTTGGATTTGGCAAAAAAGCATATGAAAACAATTGTACTATTTCCATTAATTATTATTAAAATTTTTAAAAAAACCAACTTCATGCCATCACCACATCTTAACCAAATTTATATGGGACCACCCCTGAGGTTACCTCCTTACTAACAAAAGAAGAATCATATAAATCGGACAAGGTGGTAAAGCATTATTGTTAAACATACATAAAAAATGAAGAGTTTGCAGATTTCCTAATAGACCCAATTATTAGATTTTGAACAAATATATATATGGGACCACCCCTGAAGTACCCCCTTTCTAACAAAAAAAGAATCTTTGAAATCAGACACCCTGTTGAAGAATTATCGCTGAACATACATAAAAAAAAATATCGTGACAAATTGATAACCTTCTTCCTTTTTTGAAGTCGGTTAAAAAAGGCCCATCGCCAATACTAAAAAGTGATAAAAAATAACTTGTAATATTAGGTACTACTGCTTTTAAAAATATGTATTCAATTCACCTGAAGTAAAATACTGGCAAAAGCAAATCCATTTATTTGAAATTAATTAATCAAATTGCTTAAATCAATGAAAATGGAAATTGTCCTTTTTAATATGTAGGTCGGAATCGTTTAAGTTATAAACAGTTGAACTATCTACCTACATAATGTAATAATATTTACATATAAACAAAAATAAGCCAGTCTCTAGCTAGAAATAAAATAGTCTTAGTTGTCTATGTAAATAGAAATAGAAAAGTTGATTGGGTTAGCAAAACATGAAGCCCAATCTTATCTAAAATACTTTTATTTGGTGTTCTAATACTGCTGATGTTCTGTTTCTTTATCTGGAAGGTTTATGAGATAAATTTTAACACAATTCATTTCTATTGTTTTAAAAATATTTCAATTGCATATTTGTATATTGTGAAATTTATTGTACATGTAAAGATTTTTAGTGTCTGGTAATTGCATGTACATGGAGCTATCAAAGATTTATGGAATCAAAATAAATTGATTTGACCAAATTTAGCTATATGCCAACTTGCTTCGTTTGGCCACTGTAGGTCAACAAAGTTAAATAAAAAGATCTGTTTTTTCTTTAAATTCGTCCATTTTAAAAGATCAAACTTTGTAGGACTACTGTTTTATGAGAAATTAAAAACAGAACAATATTTTTTTCTACAGTGATCATAAATGTATCATTAAGTAGGAGAAGGGCAATGGACATTTTCCCTTTTTTTATCTGTCACTTTTGACATTTCTGATAATACAATAGTAAACTATGAAATTTTTACTAAAAAAAAGTTACTTTTTTTTATGTCGCCATGATGTACCCTTTTATTATTAATTATTAATTATTAATTATTAATTATTAATTATTAATTATTAATTATTAATTATTAATTATTAATTATTAATTATTAATTATTAATTATTAATTATTAATTATTAATTATTAATTATTAATTATTAATTATTAATTATTAATTATTAATTATTAATTATTAATTATTAATTATTAATTATTAATTATTAATTATTAATTATTAATTATTAATTATTAATTATTAATTATTAATTATTAATTATTAATTATTAATTATTAATTATTAATTATTAATTATTAATTATTAATTATTAATTATTAATTATTAATTATTAATTATTAATTATTAATTATTAATTATTAATTATTAATTATTAATTATTAATTATTAATTATTAATTATTAATTATTAATTATTAATTATTAATTATTAATTATTAATTATTAATTATTAATTAATAATTATTAATTATTAATTATTAATTATTAATTATTAATTATTAATTATTAATTATTAATTATTAATTATTAATTATTAATTATTAATTATTAATTATTAATTATTAATTATTAATTATTAATTATTAATTATTAATTATTAATTATTAATTATTAATTATTAATTATTAATTATTAATTATTAATTATTAATTATTAATTATTAATTATTAATTATTAATTATTAATTATTAATTATTAATTAATTTCTTTTTCAGTTTTTCGATTTTCCGATTTTTCGATTTTCAGATTTTTCGATTTTCTTTTATTGAATAAATGAGAAGTTAATATTGTTTGACGCCGCACCGCTGTGCCGGTCGAAGTGGGGTTTTTTTTTTTTGTTACGGAATTTCTTGATTCGGTCGCCGCGCTCAAAGCCCGCGATAAAAGCTATGCAATAGCTTAAAAATTGCTTATGTTGCAGACTTTAACACTGACAATTTATGTCTTTAGATTTGACTTAACTTAATTCATCTATGTTTTACAGGAAATATGAAACATAAATGGTGTTTGGCAATGTAAACTTAATGACTTCAACTTCAGAAATATTTGTAAATCAATATTTTTTAGGCTATTAATCTTGAATTCACGATAGATAATACTTTCTATTCGCAACAACAAAATGCCATGATACCAACCAGAAACATGCCTGATCAAGTTTGCAGGACCTGTAACGAGTTTATTGGAAACAAGGAACCTTTGTATACACTGAGTACTTGGGTTACTGTGGATATGCCTAAAGTAGTCGAGGTAAGTTTATTATGAGCATTAAGTAACTTAATCATTTAAACTATTTCGCCTTCAACTATAACATTTATCAGTGATAAAATGTACTGCTGTTCAAAATTATCACACCACTCAATAGTTTGAGCAATTCTCTATTGTCATAAGAAATATAGAGATTAGGAAAAAATTATACAAGCTATAGGCACAATTTTTGAGAATACTATGTGAGGAATACTTAAATGTTTATTGTCCCGAGAACAATATCTCACTATGGATAGATTGTTTGTTGTGCAAAGAAAAAGTTTATTAGTCAGTAAATAAAATGTATTTTAAAAAAATTTCATTTTGATTCTGCTGATTTGACATAATTTCGCAAAACTCCATCCCTCTGAAATTATTCTACAAAAATTAAAAAAATACAAAGTAACAAAATTATGCTATATTTATTGTGATGAGTGACAAGTATGTATGTTTATCTTGAATCTTGATGTTTATATTACATATTCACCGATTTGATTATGATGCTCTGTTACGTGTTGCGAATATTAACCTGCAATTAATAGAGATAGGCGTACACCTACACTGTATGGCTCCTATAATTTTTTCCAAACCTGTATAAAACATAAACGGATGGAAATAGGACCATTGATGACTGGACGAGAGTCATATTCTCTGATGAAACAATGAAGAAATATTACAGTATATGTTAATATTTTGTGTTTTTGTTTGATAATTTTTTTTTAATATTATTTTTGAACTTTTTTACATTTTAAATTAAAAATCATCAATATAATTTTAAAAAAATCTAATTATTTATATTATTTTTTAGGACCGACTCACAAATATGATCAGCCCGGTAGATTCTAAACCTCTGTATCAGATGTTTAGTTATTGTTTTTCAGAATTTGTAAGTATTACGAAATATTCAAATGGGTCGGAGCTAGTACTTCTTTTATAATAAAAAAAATATATATAGTATGTCAACCTTAGTTTTCTTACTCCAGTAGAACGGTATAAAAACAATAGTATTTATTAGAGAGAAATAGAATAATAGACTGACCACAATTGTACATGCAATAAGGGCGTGGTTAAACCATTTGCTCTCTTTATTCGTCTCACGTCCAAATATAATTGAGCATCTCATCTTTATTCTGCCGGATAGGTCTATTAGTGTACTATATACAGAAGCTGAATGTAGTTTGTTGATGTTTCTCCAGCACTATTGGCAATTAAAATATTTCAATTCAGTTGAATAAATAGAATTAATTATACAAATCTGACGTATATACACAGCTTATTTTAAATCTAGCTTTTTTATGATAAACACATTTATATTTTGCAAATGTTATTTAAAAATATTTTAAATTTTGGACGATTTTGTAAAAAAATCTCGAAACTGTCCATATCGGTTCCCAAGATATGGCCAGACCCCGCCCTTGATCCTATTTACCACCATGGCGTCAGACCGTTTGTGGGAGTTGAATTTTCTAGTCATCTAGTAGATATTAAACGTGCGGTTTTTGCTGATATGTGTTATACAGGGTGTTTTTTAAAAATCTCTTAAATTCACTGTAACCAAATTTTATCAAATGGAAACGGGCTACTTTTCATTGGGCCACCCTGTATAATAGGTTATATGATGAATGTTGCAATTTTACTTCTCTTTTAGTTACATTCTTCTTGATTGTCCTCTTGATAATTTTGTCACTGGTTTAACTTCTTGTACTCTAATTAATTATTATGTGATTTCTATCCCATTATTTTAACCATACCAGCGTAATTACGTACTTTTTATTTCATATTTTATTAATTTTATGATAAAAATGGATCAAGACTCGTTTGATACGGATTTTTTTTTTAATCTATATTTTTTATGTACTCTATGCTCCGACCCTTTACTACTTTATTTATTAACCGTTATTTTTTAATAAAAAAATAGAAAGTACCATCAGATCCAGTAACAATTATTTGCAATAAATGTTATGAAAACATTTGGCTGTTTTTCGTTTATAAGAAAAATGCAATTGTTATCGAAGATATGTTATCTCAAGATTTTACACCAGAAGAATACGGCCAAACTGTCCTTTGTAGAACCTGCAGTATAGAGACGTCCAATTTTTTTAATTTGGACGATGTTAGCGAACTTGGCACATTGTTGCAAGATATACTTATGAAACGGTATCCTCCTGTAAGTAATTGAATTATTTTGGAATGCCCATTTCAAACAATACTAAAAAATATAAATATTTATTTCAGAATTTGGTTCCATTGAGAGTATGCCTCAATTGTTATAATACCCTTCAAAAAATCAATGGTTTTCATAAAACTTTTATGAACACTGAAAAGATTATAAAGAGGCGCTCCCTTTTGAATGAAAAATTAAAAATGTTCAACTCTAACTCACCTAGAACTCTTCCGGCCATTCAAATTGAGGATAAACAAGGTCTTCTTAAAAAATGCGAAAAAGAGTATGTTAACATTTATTTTTAAACTTGCTTATCTTTAAAATTGTATTATAAGAATAATTTTTTGTATATTTTGCGAAATAACTTGAGTGAGAAAAAATAATTTATTGACCTAAACTTTTTAGAAATTTAATCTTGGCTAATCTGATGTTGCAATATGGCCAAAAACTTCGAAATAATCTCCATGTTATTGAAAATTGGACACCTATTTGTCATAAATTAGAAGAGCACAAAATAAATCACAATGTGCCTAGTTTGATCAACAACTGGAAAAGATTGGAGAAAATGTCTCAAAAAAAATTGCTGAAGTAAGTAACACCCTGCTCTCTTTTAAACCTATTAAGGTAGGGTGGGGTAACTGTGACAGTGATTTTCACCGATTTAAATTTAAATATGTATATCGTGTAAGCCTGAGAGAGACACTATGTGTTGTGTGCTTTCAGTTCACAGAAATAAAAAATACATTACATCAGAATCATATTTCATTATATGTTAATATGGCCGTAGGTCACACTTTCCCAAAGGTTTGCGACAAGTGTGATTTACACCAAATATGTACTTAATTAATGTAAAACTGTTGTGTAAGAGCAATTAGAAAAGTCAATCAATTTTCATGATTAATTTAAATTTAGCAATATACGAAAAAATACATAACCAAGTTATTTATGTTCATAAATAAATATCAAATAAAATTATCTCACATGCTATTAATGTTGAAGACTTACTTATAAAAATCATATTTGGTTATACACATATAGGATAGCAAAAAAGTCTGACAAGATATTTCCTTTGAAACCAATGAATGTATAATTATGAAATTGTAGGGTGATGAATGGAATTGTATTCTGCATATTTTAAAAGGCGTTATGTGACATCGGCGTTTAGCGTTCCGCCGCCATCTTTAATTTTTTGGAGTGATATATCAGAGAAAAGCTTATTTTTTCCTCTAAGAATACTAAAAGAGTACCACATTCCGAGTCTAGTAACATTTTTTTTATTAATTTATCTATCATCTGCCTATTTATAACTACAAAGTTTAATCTCCGACGGTGATGAGCATGCTACCCCCAATTACAGAAATTTGGCCAAATCCCCTGATGTCCCAACCAGAGGTAGGGACCTTAACTAGCCCAACATCCATGGGCTCTGGACCGACGACTTTACATCTCCTCCGAAAAGATGGCACACCCCACACTTATTGATATAACGCCCGCCCGCTGCAGTATGCAACTAAATGAGCAGTTTGTTCGGACGTGCCCCGACTTTATTGAAATGGTCACCCATCCAACTACTAACTGCGCTGGGCCTGGCTTGACTGCAGGTATCGATACACGATAAGTGAACCTGCTAAGCCGGGCATCCGCACGTCTAATAACATTTGTTTTTTATATTTTGGAATAAATAAAAATACAGATATTTAAGAAATATATCAAACTATTTATTGTTATTAAAATTAGACAATGTTTTGTTTAAACATATATGTTTTCCTACAAGAAACAAATTATCTTCTAATCTTTATAATTCTTACCCAAATCGCAAGTTTTTGAATCACTAGCATCGCTGTTAGGGTTAATTATAATAGTAATAATTTCCAATCTATCAAAAAACCTTTCTTTCATACCATTTTATTATTATTTTTCTGTGCGTTCAAAAGAATTTTTCATTACTTGGGGAGTAATTGTTCGAAGAGCTTTAGACCACATATTTAAAGAATCTTGTTATTTATTACCATCTCTGCTTTTATGTTTATTATAATATTACTTGGGAAAGTCCCAAATAAGTTAAATGGGATTAAAAACACAATTTTAGTGAGGAAGATGTAACATTTTATGTCCATATTGTTCTGCTAAATTATTTACCATATATACCTTTGGTGGTTTGTACCAAAAAAAAATGTTGTTATTTATTTCTATTTGTTATTTTGTATAACATGTGTGAATATCGGTACACTCTAAATTGTTATATCGAAACGACACATCATATCAAAGATTTAATGGTATAGTGACAGGCTTCTGGTTCACCTACAGTGAATCAGGGAGTCTGTGTGACGCTAAGATGGTGATTCCCGAATAGGGGTTGCTCAGGCGCCAGTTTTGGTATCACAGTTTGCTCTGCGACCCTGTAGTACACCAGAGTGTACTCAAAGTAAGCTCAGTGGAGTTAAAAATATTTCCAGGCGGTCACTGCTAATTAGGTAGACACTAAACTAGAATAAAAAAAAAAAAAACACGTATCTCCTTTATACCTCGTACCCTACGGTACCCTGAAAGAGAACGGTTAAGAACCAGCAATAAGAGAAACGCAGGAATAGATAATAAAATATATATTTACAGAAAAAAAAATACAACGGTGGTAGTGCACAGTTTTGGCACGGCTGTAAACGGAAAATTAAATAAAATGAATGATTACAATTGAAAAACTAGTCAAATATTAACGGCTCCCTGTATTCGGAAAATTTATTAAAAATAAATTACTACAATTGAAAACTAATTAAATATTAATGGCTCCCTGTATTCGGAAAATGTATTAAAAATAAATTATTACAATTGAAAACTAATTAAATATTGGGAAATAATTACGGTTCGCTAGCACAGGAGGCTAATTGGTCCGGGAATTACGAAACTCCCTGTATACGGAAAATTAATTTTAAAAATAAATTATTACCATTGAAAACTAAAAAAAAACTATGCGGAAATAATTGCGGTTCGATAGCACAGGAGGCTAATCGGTCCTGGAATTATGAAACTCCCTGTATACGGAAAATTAATTAAAAAAAAAAATAAATTATTGATTAAATATGACGGTAATAAAATGTAAGAAAATAAATGAAATCAAAGTTTTCGGAACCCCCCCCGTATCTCAGTCCCGAGCGATCGACGTTGGCAATTTTCGTCGAGCGAGAATAATATGATTTACGGGGTGTTTGGACAACGAAGGCGATGGTTATAGAAAAGATTATTGAGATTTGCCAAAGCCGATTAAAACGGTATGTGAATTAATTTTTTAGAAAACGTCGGGCTTCGTTCAATAATTAGTTGTTGACGGGAAACGGAATGATTCAAATATAATTGAATGAATAAATAAAAGAAAAGAAACTTACATGAAGTGAGGCGCGAAAATTAATTTAGACGTCTTTTTGGGAAATTAGATAACGCCGTCGGGACAGAGAGCACTCTTAACCCAGGGAGAGATCGAATCTCCGAAAAAGAAAATAACGGGCCGGTTTTCCCCAAAAGTAATAAATAAAAAAAAATTGAAAACGGGTTGAACCTCTCACTTCAATGTTAACTGGGCGCTTCCTAAGAGAGATTGGATATAGTCGAAAATGAAAGCACTTAGAGTTGCCTATATCCAGCCACAAATAAAAAATTGCCAACGGTTTCCCACTAAGGGATGAAATGAAATATCTTGGGTATGAATCTAAAAAATTTTCACTTGTCGTACGGGTGTCCCAACTAATTGTAAATAAAAAAATAATTTGCGGTTTCCTACCTTAGAAAAATAAACGGGGTTGTTCAATATTCTTTCAATATCACGGTCACTCACAGAGTACTTCACTCGTCACTGCAGGAGAGAGAAGAGCTTACGGGTGTCGGAAATCAAGAGAGCGTAATTCCCAGTTGTGATCGAATTTATGCTTTTTCGCTGGGCAAGATTGAAGACCGGTAAGCCCGAGTAGGAGATACCACCACTACCGCCGACTGTTTAAAATTTAAAATAAAAAAATGTCCTTCTAGTACCTTGACAAGTAAAAGTAGATAATTGGTACGAAATCGACTCTCCAAAATGCCCATTCGCATTTCAGCAAATATAGGAATATTTTAACCTACGAGGGTACTCGTTTTTAAAATTAATTAAAAATAAAATTTAGTGACTTCATCACAGTATGTACACTGTTATTTTAGCAAATCTTGTAACATTTTTAATTTTGATATATTAAAGTTTATTTTTGCAAAAAAAACCAAAAATTAAATTTTTTGTTTTCACTGTATAACTGTGAAAACATGATGATTTTTATTGACCATTCTAATATTTTTTTTTCATTTTAATTGTCTTCGTAAGATTTGCTACAATAACAGTGTATCCCATTAAATCTTCAATATGATGTGTCGTTGCGATATTACAGTTTAGAACATAGCTGTTGGCACATAATAAGAGAAATAAATAATTGTTTTCTACTTTAAGTCAGGAAATGCAAGAAAATCATGATTGCTGATACTTTTATTTACTTCTTGCCATCGATATTAAGTAGTTCTTCTGTCATCATTTTCCCAGGAGTGGTTTATTGTTTCATCAAAGAAAACGAACTGATGTAAGGCTGCTTCTTTTGTAATTCTATAATTTCTTAAAAACTGATTTTACAGCAATATCAGGAAATTCCATAATTCCACGTCTTGGTAGTTGACAGTAAAAATATTTAGGTTTAGGGCTTATGCAACACGCTAAAACAGACAAGAAATCAATTTCATATTTCTATGCATTTCTATAATTTCTAACTTACTTCTAATGCACTTACAGCAGTTGAAGGTAATAGTAGTGGTTCATCATCACGCTCTTGTTCAAAATACTGTATTTACGAAGCTGTAAACTCCTTACAATGACTATTTAGTGTTTTTTGCATTTTCTATGTAGAAATTAAAATCAATAATCAACTTTTACTCACACTTTGTTTTGGAAATTCACTTTAAACATAACCTAAAACTTAAGTCAGTTAAATTTTTTAAAAAGCTATTGACAACAAATTTCAATGATTGCCGTAATGCCATTTCTTCTCTATAAATACGAGTTTCATGGGCGTACAGAATGTCAAAATTATTTAATGTAAAGTATGGTTTTTTGAATACTAAACATGTAATAATATTTTTATAAATTTTATATTATCAATTGTACTGACTGAAGAACCTAGGTCGATGGCCATTTGGTTGTAAAATTTATAACCAATAAAGTGCTTTTATTATTATTATTATTAATATTAATATAATTATTATTATTTTGGTGTCATCAACATCAACTACTAAGGTTTTTTTTTTACACCCTTCAGACCTCCCGTGCTACACCCTAATCCGTCTGTAGTCTGGCAGCACTGCAGCCTGCGGCTTATTGTACCACCATTTGAAGGTCCTACTACTTTCCCATTCATTCCACGTCATCGATGGTTAAACGCTAGTCGGATGAATCCCATGGTGACACGACCCATGGTGGAACCTCCCAGCGGTCACCCATCCACGACGTGACCGGAGACATCACTGCTTAACTGTTGCGAGTATGTGGATGCACACTAAACTCGCGGCTAGCCTCTCCGGCAACTACTAAGGTTATTAGCCTCGTGTTCTGGGTAGACTTTATTACTGTTTCCCAGCGCCTCTTTAAGAACAACACTGTTAATTAGAACCCAACAGTGAATGGTCGAGTGTGGAATCATACCTATGCATTAGGATTAATATTTAATTTTTTTTAATTAAATAAAATCCCTGCCACTGGTGAGATTCGATCCTGAGACCTTCCGATCTCGTCATGACTAACCACTGAGACAACTCACCCCCAGTTATTATTATTAATTATTATCAAGAATAAGACGTGTATAACCTAAATAATTAAAGTAATTCTAAAACTATCAAAATAAGCACTAATCCATTTTTCCCTTATTTAGTAATATGACTACGTTCATGAATGCTCGTGAATATCCGTGACATTTTCGGATTATTAGCTTGGTTAAAGACATTTTAATTAGTTGTTAGTATTATAACGATGACGTGAAACGGGATTTGTATTAAAAATACTATATTGTATAAACTATATTCTTTTTGTAATTTAATTTTATTCTTTGTGAAAACTTCAAATGGGTATAATAATTATAAATAAAAAAAAATTAATAAATAGGTAGGAACAACCGAATATTATACTTTGAATTTCTAAAAATCATATAGGAATGTTAAATCACTTTCACATTTGATTCAAATGAACACTTACCCCACCTTACCATATAGTTAATTATGTTCGTTAGATTAGCTTCGAACATATAAATATTCTAAAAAAATCATTTGTTGTACATCCTGAACTTCAACTGAAGGGTAAACCAATGATCAAAATTTTTTTACACTACCCAAAAGTTTAATATTTTCCATACGTCCTATGTACTTCCTATGTATTGTACATCATACTTCCTTATCAGTTAACTCCTCGACTTCTGCTCAATATATGCCTAATTTGTCTATATTTTAGTAAAACTCCATTGTCAGAGTTAGAAGAACTCGTTTTACAATTTATAAATATTCCATCAAATCAACCTAACCTCGATGTCACCACAGTTATTAAAAAAGATTCATCTGGACTTTCGAAGAGTAATCCTAACCTCGACGTCGACATAGTCATTAAAAAGGATTCACTGGAACTTTCGAAAAGTAATCCTAACATTGACGTCACCACAGTCATTAAAAAAGATTCATCTGGACTTTTGAAGAGTAACTCTTCACAGTGCCTGCCTGCGAAAAGCACAAATCAAGTTCCTGATGGCAAACAGGAGAAAATAGAATTAAGGTAATTTATACATTTATTTTGAATTTTATGAAAAATACATTCATAATTACATCAGAATCTTAAAATGCGCTCGAATTCATGCAACGGGTCACATATTTCTAACACTGAAACATTACCTGCTTTGTTATTTTATGAATTATATTTTTTATTAGGCTACCACCCAGCACGAATCAACTTGGAGGTAGAGAGGACTCTTGCCAAACAAAGGTGGCTGTAGAAAAGGATCACAAAGAAAGGTATTAAAAAAAGTAGACAAATTTTAACCAAATTAAACTCCGTTTAAAATGAAAAATTAAAGAAGGCTTCTTTCAGAGAGTCAAATACTCGGAATCAAAACTAAACGTTTATTTTCTGAAAACCTACGTTGCAAGATGATATTTATTCTATTTTGTCTTTTAATATTTACTTTTTATTAAAATTATTGGGTAATTGATTCCTGTTCTGATGTCGGCCACAAAGTAACTTGTTGAAATAGAAAATACTTACCGTCTTTGTTATAAATTTTTTCTGGATTTTTAGCTGTCAAGTAGTGATCTAGGGACTGTACATTTTGTTTGTAAAGATAAAGATGATGATAATGCTTATAATTTCTTAGCATGGAACTTTTTTTTCGGTGCATTGAAATCGACACATTCATTTACAAATATTGACATTTTTATGTAATTTGATTTACGAATGTTATAGTCCCTCATCTTGTTACATCTTTACTGGACGGTACGATATTATTCTAAATAATCTTGATACGGTACTGGGTAACAGTATCGCTAATACTCGAAATTAAACCACAATATTAAGATATAATGCGAACGGCACTCTTGTTTTTGTAAGAGAGCAACTGGGGGGTGGGGGGGGGAAGTCTCAAGGTAGATGTTTACGAAATATTTACTTATTTTGGACGCCAGAAATGTTTCAAGGAAAAATTTCAAAAACTACGAAACTAGGCGAAAAGCAAATTAATCATTAAATTGTATATTATTCGTCACCAGAAAATTTTAAAAAATTAATTGCGCGACAAAAAAAATGAAAGCTATCATATTTATCAGTAAGCAAAGTCATCTGTTAACTGTGTGCTGGTCTCACTAAAACACATTAGTTTTGATAACGAGTTTATTTACAATTAATTAAAGTCAACAATTTAAATGAACATCTAAAAATGGTAATAAGTGTCAGAATTTAGGGTATACTGAACAAAACAAAGGTAAATTCAAACTAAACACAATATGTATACCCAAATAAAGAAATTAGCATAGTAAAAGATCAGCACAAAAAAATTGTTTGTATCAAAAGAGTAACTTTCAACGCCACCCGGTATGATATGAACACAAAAAAATAGTTTGTATGTTTCAAAACCAACACCTGGTGTACTCCAGATTAATCGCAACATTAGAGGTGTACACAGAAAACGCTCTGAAATAAAAACAACTAACATTTGCAAAACACTAGATACAATAAACAAACAGGATTATTCAATCATAAATCGGATTAAAATGTTTAAGAGGTGCCTACTTAAATTTAGATCTAATAAACGCAAACATAGATATAGTTTTAGTTCGATATTTATCAAAATATCTTCCTTCGTGTATTAACTCACGGCGCATCTGCAAGGCTTAAATAATCAGGAACTGCATTTTTTTTTTGTAATAGCAAAATGGTTCAATTATTATGACCACCTAATTACTTAATAATTTTTCTAATAGCAAAATTAATTTCTTTAGGAAATTCAGTAATAAAAAAACTTCAAACAGCACAAACGGTATTTTGATACGGTAGTTTATAAGTACACTCTGTAACTAAGGTAAAAGGCAGAAGATAATTTTCGGTAATAAGTATGCATACCTATTTTCTTAAAATCTAACATTATTAAAAAATACAAAGCAAAAATATGTCTCTCTAGACGTGAGTCAAGTGGTCCTCAAACTGAACCGGTTATCACGACCATAAATCAATAAATGCAATTGATAACTAAATCTACCATTGGTAAAAAGTTGCACTTTCTTATAAAGTTGTCTGGCAAAATTGATTTAGTCAATCACTTTTATTCAAGATATAACTTCACGAATATTTATCTAAAAACTTGTTAGTTCCTGCACTGAAATAAATATTTAATTTCACACAAATCTGCGATGAAGGTCAAATACCGCTGACCTCCTTTCATCAGCCGGTCGACTATCATAGAAGCGAAAAATTAATTTACAGATAGGTAGTTTTATTCTTTTTGACGGCATTTGCTCCACACATTGGCCTGGAAACCATCACCACACTAAATTGATGCTAGGCACTTATTTGCTACTTTTCTTACAAGCTTGATTAGCACACAAGACAATTGCCGCGTTTGAGAATCCACATCGGATGCATTTTTTACATCGAGCGTTTTTTTATCCACATCGGACACATCTACTACATTTACATCTGCATTTGTTTATCCCAGATGTACCTGTTCAGATTACATTTTTTACATCTCGATTTGAAATGAGATGTGAATGAGATGTTCGTTCCATGCCAGAAAGTGTTCTGTGAAGCCTTGTTTGTCAATTTATCCTTTGTTTATGCTAGCATGAATATAAAAGTGATTATAGTTTGTTTATATTTCAAATGTAGGTTGATTTGTAGTCTCAAAAGTCAAATTTAATGAGTATAAACTTCTAACTTGTCATTGACATTTTATCACGTGACCAAATAAAGTCTAGAGCGTTTGTTTATTACATCTACATTCAGATCTAATTCTCTATCACCTGATAAAAAATTCACAACATCTCAGATGCATCCGATGTGGATTCTCAAACGCGGCAATATTATGCACTTTTACGGTAGGTAGGTAGGTAGGTATGTTATTTCAGAATTACAAAACTTTCAGGGCATTTTCTACACTGACACTGTACGTTAGGGAGAAGGGAGGTCCTTTTGTTTTTGACCAATTAAATCGGATTGTCCACGTGCTAGACAGGTGTATTCTTTTTAACGGCTGTTTGTCTATCGTTCAGGGGCGGGCTAAGAAATTTTGTCGGTGCGAGTAGTTGAATTATTTATTTAGGCGGAAAATTAAAAACGTTACAATCTGACTGCAAAAAATCGCTTTTATTGCCTTCTCGTTGTATTATGTCGCAACGTTGAGAGTGATCATGTGACTTGTAAAATTCAAAGTATAGTTGCGTCACAGATTACCCACGAGATCACAGGGATTCTTACGTACGAACTCGACAAGATATGTATCGAAAAGAGAAAGAATTAATAAATCTTTATTAATAAGATTATAACCTAATATTAAAAAAAAATTAATTTAAAATTTAAAACTTATTGCTAAAGTGAAACATAAATATAAAATATCCATGAAACATTAATAAATATAAAATATGAAACATATTACATAGTATTTTTGATCATTTATTTTTATTATATTTATTTCTAATATTTGTTGGTAATTTATTATATTCTTTGAGTTTTTTGTACAGCAATATTTTCATTGACATGGCGCCCCACGTTGGGCGTTATGTCGTCGGGTCTCGCTCGGGTGAAGGTCGTTTTGCCCTGACCCCGCTCTTTCGCTAAGAAGGGGTCGTGAGGGAGATATGGCCGTACTGGTGGATAATTCGGAGAGCGTAGTGAACTCCTCGAAACCACCAACACTGTGAAGCACTTCACCAGGGAAACTTCCCCCTGACTTACATTTGCCGTGTGTAGGCCGACGCTCGATGGGGTATATGATGATTGGAGTCCTAATTCAGGTACTCTCAGGGTAGGTTCGGGCCCAGACGGCGGGGATTTGGCAAACCGTCGGGTAGTGTCGTTAATTTGAATGTTTTGAAAGTCATTTAAATTTATAGCCGAGTTCGGCTGTCTCCACAAGGTGGCATTTTGCTCTGGGGCGGGAGTAACCGGGGAAAAGCCATAGAACTGTCCCCGAGTACCGTGCCCTGAAGGAAATGCCCTTCTGGGGTCAGCGGTGAAATTATCTGGATTATTGTGATGCATTGTTGTAATAAGTTAAAATGAATTGAAATGATTTTAAAGTATATTAAGTTAGTTAACTAAGTGACGTTAAAGGTTCTAAACTAATGAATTTTATTTAAAAAAAAGTAAATAAATAAAATAAAGAAATAAAAATTTTTTTTTTAGTAATAATAGCCTCCCTCAGTCAAGCGGGTTCGACAGGGGAAGGTGAATGTCGATTAGCAAGTAACCGACAATCACTAGGATAGGATATTTTATAATAATTAATTAAAAAGCCGAAGGTTCTTACCAACCAACAATATTACTGACAAATGACACTATAAATAAATGGCTGCGACCCTTGACACCTGTCAGTCCGACCTGTGAAAAGAAGAAAATCCGTTACAGGTTCCGCGCCTAAAAATGCCTTCAAGCGGGAGGGAAAATGGAGGGAAATTGAATGGAATCACTTTTAAATGGGAAACGATGTACTCCTCGTCTCCCACGTAATTAGAACAGACTCACCCAGTGTAATTATCCCACGAAGGGGCGCTAAGCAGGAGGATCGCAAGAGAGTAGGGGAGAATGCGCAAATACCGGCCTATTTCTCAACCACTTTGCTAGAATCCGCTTTCCTTAGTAAACCCTTATGTAGATCGACTCGGACAGTTGTGGAGCTTATTTAAAACTTGAAATAATCCTTTTTGGCTAAATTGAGGCACTAAACCGGCACAAAAATCGAAATTGCACTATATTCGCGGCGAGAGAACTATCGACGGGAAAAGTTAACGATCTACTGCCTGTTTTTGCGGAAAACGCTTATATTTATGTCTCTAATTCCTGGCTCCGCTCATAGATAAAACAATTACGTAATTGGCTAAAGCTCTTTGGAATCGTTTGAAATTTGCAACGGCTGTATATTTGAAATTTAAACTATGTCTTTTTAGGATGAATAATGATGAAAAATCGATTAGAGGATAAAGTACTTTTTAGAAAGCTAGAAGAGTTGTACGTGGGTGTGAAATATTAATAAGACATAGTTTGGACACGCGAATTACTTTGGATTTTTGTGAAGTCTGAAATATTTCTGCGTATGTAGGTATTTCATTCGGGTATAAATGAAATACGGAAATATGAATATTCGAAGTTGTTCCCATGAGAAAGAGTAACTAGTCTCCGAACTTTAGGATTACTTCGTGATTGATTATTTAGTAACAATTTAATATTAAAAATTAAAATAACTTTACTAGCTTTCGAGTACGAATGCTAGATGTATAACCACAAGTACTTGTGTCGACGTAAGAGTGAG